ACCCCAAGAACACCATCCCCACGTCAAACATGGAGGTGGAAACATTATGCTTTGGGGGTGTTTTTCTGCTAAGGGGACAGGACAACTTTACTGCATCAAAGGGAACCTCCTTCCCTCAGCCAGGGCATTGAACATGGGTCATGGATGGGTATTCCAGCATGACAATGACCCAAAACACACAGCCAAGGCAACAAAGGAGTGGCTCAAGAAGAAGCACATTAAGGTCCTGGAGTGGCCTAGCTAGTATCCAAACCTTAATCCCATAGAAAATCTGTGGAGGGAGCTGAAGGTTCGAGTTGCCAAACGTCAGCCTCGAAACCTTAATGACTTGGAGAAGATCTGCAAAGAGGCGTGGGACAAAATCTCTCCTGAGATGTGCGCAAACCTGGTGGCCAACTACAAGAAACGTCTGACCTCTGTGATTGCCAACAAGGGTTTTGCCACCAAGTACTAAGTCATGTTTTGCAGAGGGGTCAAATACTTATTTCCCTCATTAAAATGCATATTAATTTATAACATTTTTGACATGCGTTTTTCTGGATTTTTTTGTTGTTATTCTGTCTCTCACTGTTCAAATAAACCTACCATTAAAATTATAGACTGATAATTTCTTTGTTATTGGGCAAACGTATGATATCAGCAGGGGATCAAATACTTTTTTCCCTCACTGTATATAGTTTGTGTGGAGCTGTCTCAAGTCTATGTGTTCAAACAGCAGACTTCTACTGTTGTAATTCAGCTTAAAACCTAGACGCTAATTGAGTTGAAGAAACAGTGGAACTTGGCTTCAGTGAGCCGTTGTTCTTGGGGGATTCTCTGTGTTAGTTCCATTTGCGCTCAGAGCAGCCCTAAGCTTTATACTGGTGCAATGAAAGTGGATAGGGAGGAAAGTCATTTAAAACGGGTTGTGTCAACCCTACTATTCACACGCACGCACACACACACGCACGCACGCACGCACGCACACACACACACACACACACACACACACACACACACACACACACACACACACACACATACACACACACACACACACACACACATTCATAGAGTCATTTAATCAGAAACACCTAAAAATACATAAGCTAGCGCTTCCCTTCAAAAACAGTAAAAATAATGTCTGAAGCTTTTTTTTATCATATAAAAGCCCCCATAGTACAACCCTAAATACTGGTATATAAAAGGAAGAACAATGTTTTATGCACATAAATATTAGGCTTTTCTTTGATCAAGTGATGCTATATTATTTTGGTATATAACATTAATCTATATCATGTTCAACATGTTGACTAAACAGAACTACTTGTATATGATGTCTTTATAAACATGTCACATCTTGAAAATGATCAAAATACACAAATAAAGCCCACCAATCAGATAATACTTGAGAGGATACATACGTAAAGTATATCATTATACGAATAGTTGAGTAATTATAGATTTCCATAGTTGCATTTGGATCTATATATAATGTGTCTTGGCTTGATCTACTTACAAAATAGTTTCTTTGCAATGTTCCCATTTTCTCAAGAGTTCATATGGGGTAACTACTGAGTTGAAGACGTGATTGACACTACTATAGTACATTAATATGGTATGACAACACGCAGGTGTTATAACACATACGGAACAAGGTATTTTCTCCTGAATGTGGAATATGATACAATCATGTTCACAGTCCATCTCTCTCCTCATAATCGACAGTCTATACTCTCTCACTCTACCTGCTCTAGTAATTCAGCTCTTCCAGAGAGATTTGGCCAATAAGACAATGCTCTGTCATTGTAAAGTGGGGGAACCCATTGGTAGTGTTGGGTGGGTATGCTTGACTTGGACTGAAAGAGGTGCCGGTACTCATTTTGGGTGCTGGTACTGTTTATATCTAGGTGCAGGAGCTCAAGCAGTAGAAAATCTGAGGTGCCGGTGTTCAGCTCCGGTAAGCTCCTGCCCAAGTCAAGCACTGATTATGTCAAGAAAATCTTCAATTACCAGACAAGCACTCTACTGATACAATTAGCTGTCAGATCAAATCACTTGTAGTGGTTTATCCTGAGGTACAGAATGTTTTTGTGCAATACTGAAAAGTGAATAGTTATCAGGAATTGCACTACTTCATAGATGAATCGACAGTGTAGCCTACTAAAAATAATGATTACCCACCTCTAAACGTCACATACACCTCAGTTAATAATACATGAACATGCGAATCAGTGTGGAAAAAATCTTCATTTCAAACCCTACGTCATTTAGCCTAGAGTGCCATCACATTAGCGAGAGCTAGCCCAGTCTCAACCCCAGGTGAACTCTGACCCCTCTCTGTGGTGCAATGGCCCTCACTCTGCATGCTGTCACACCACATCACTGGTAGGACTCCAATTCAAGTGCATTAGGATACTTCAACATTACAGAGCAATCATACAGTTGACAGTGGCGTCTTGTGAAATAAGAATTAGCAGGGCATAATGATGTATTTGTAATGCTAATTGAAATACGATTTTTTGTTTCCTGATTTAATTGAATTCCAATTCAAGAATAGGCCAAATAACAGTGTATCTAATGCCCCAGTAGATTCTCATCCAGCTGACAGCCACAGCAGAAACACACCTCTCTGATCATGCATCATGCGTGCTACAGTAGGCTCACATTGGTTATGGTGACACAGCACCCATCTACAGCAGTCACATGTGCATAACATAACTTCTCCGAAATCAATCAAAAGCACAAAATGAACACAAAACAAATCATAGGAGCAGACCAATGATGACATCAGAAAGGTTGTAGAAATCAGCTGTAGCGGGAGGGCGGGTGTCAGGGGGAGGGGTCAGCATTGGGACCTGGAAGCTTTTAGTTTGATTTAGCACTCCACGAAGGACGAGGTGTTTGCTTGTTTGTTTATTTGTTTGATTTTTGTTTGTTGGGGGGGTAATGTCTCTCTGTCTTTCTCTCTTTTTCTTTCTGTTAGTAGGGAGTGAAGCGACTGTACCCTCCTCTGTATAGGCTAGCCTGCAACATCAAAGATGAAAAAGGACCAATCAGTATTAAGGTGGCGACAGCTTGGTTGTTGAATTCTGTTTTTTCCACAAATTTCCTTCCTTTATTGGTTTTGTTAAAATGTCTGTGTATGATGGACATGGGATTAAATAGCATTTAATTGAGCTGGTTTAATCAAAGTAATAATAGTTATTGTTCAATAGAGAATGCATAAGTTGGGTATGTGTGTGTGTTATGAGGAGGGGTGGTCGAGGTGTTGGAGCTGGAGGATAATGAACCTGGTAGTGATAAAGTATGAACGTGGTCTGAAATAATTTTGCTCTTTTTACCAGAGAGAAAAAACCCTTTCCTAGATATCCATATTCTTCTTTTGTTATGCCACATGGAGAAGTGGGCCCCGCCCTCAAATGCAGTTTCCATGCATTAATTACATTAAGCAACAAATTGGAAAATACTGTGCTTGTTTCATGCTTTTGACTGTAGGAAAACATTCCTTATGGAATGGCTTTCCAGGCTACAACAATGTCATAGATCCAACCAAAGCTAATTAAGTTCAAAGGAGTTTAAACATAATTCTCTTTCAAGTCCAACCGTGGTGCCCACACCTTTCTGGATGTGTATTGCACCAGAGGATATTGCTCCCTAGGTTTACTGCAATGCTCTGGTTAACCAGGACAAACACACACACACACACACACACACACACACACACACATGCACACACACACACGTGCACACACACACACACACATATATCCCCTGTACTCTGAGCAATTCTGCTGCTTTTTGGACAACCTCCAAAGGCGAAGCCCCAAACCTTCAAAGGCTAATTTCCCTTCATTTAAGGGAACCCTCTTACTTGTATAAAACTTTCATCAGTATAAAAAAGCATTAGCACATTTTTTGCACGCCGGAAATCAGCAAAGAGAATTTTAAGCAACCTCGGAGGAACTAATTATTGAAAGGATTCTAAATGCAAAAATCGCTGTGCTCTCCTTCGGAACCATTAATCAAATAGGACTAAAGAATTAGTAACCAAACCAATTATTTTTTCTCAGCACTTCTGAATCTATTTCATGGTGTGTCTCTGCACTGTAAGTTCTGAACTCCTATTGTGTCAAGATGGTTAATTCACTACCAGGGTCTCGTACCTCACCAGCTTCCACCCCACCACAGTGATCCCCTCAACTTGCCTCACACACACAACCCAAGCTCAGACATGAAGGGCCAAATTCAGCCTGACTAAGAGTGGCAGAGAAGGGAAGGAAATTTGGAGGAAAAGAAGCACAGTTTTTAATTAAGTAAATGAAGAGGAAAAAAATTAATGTCTTAATTAATGAAAGCTTTTAGCTAGCAGCTGCACCGGGGAACTGTACGCAGTTTTTTATGTTGTTGAAAAATCGCATGCATGCCGGAATGGTAAATTTGAGTCATTTGTCTGGCAGAGAGCGCTCGTCCCATCAACCTTGTGGGCTGGAGGGGTGAGTGAGGAGAACGCCCTCCCTCGAACCCTCCCTCCATCGCTCTCTTTCTCTTCCATGTCCCACGGCACACTGCTGCATGCGTTTGATGGTCGTTAATCTTTCAAATAAGTCTATCAGTCACATGCCCTCATTGTAAAACAAAACATTGAGAAACTATCTCCCCATTAGAGGATGGTCTTTTACTGATAGTATTTTCATCTTTGATGTTAGCTGCAAAAGCTAGCTAAAAACAGACATTAACGATTCAACTTCACCCCTTCAAGTTTAGAGTTTGGCTGAAGGGAAGAATGGAACAACTCATTTGGAGTTGAATAGTGACAGGAATAGAATGATTATACTAGTGTATAAGATGCCCATGTGTTTGGATTGAATTAGTTGTAGTGATCATTCCCATTTTAGTAGTAAAAAGCCTGAATAAAATTAACATTGTATGAGGTGAGATTGTGTGACATAACATGAAACAAATCCATTTCACTGAATTCACAATGACCACATGCCAGAGAATTCTGCTGCGCTCCACTAGGTCGTGCCAAACAGCATGACAAAGAGGGAATAAAGCCCACTGACTTGGCTTAGTTCAATGGTCTTTATCTCCGAGTGCTCCTGGAGCGACAGAGTACTGCGGCTGGTGGCCTCTGCTCTGTGTTAGTATGGCTAGCCAACAACAGGGTGCAGAGGAAAGCGAGAGTGGACTTACCATGGTCCCCACACTGTATGTAGCGGCAGGGCCGATTGTGTGATGGTAGGGGTCTGCTGTTGCATAGACTCTGCCATAGCTGCAATGGAAAAGGACAGGAGATTATGGTCATTGACATATAGTATATTTTCAATGCTTGTTTGATACTTGGCCCTAAAGTCAACATTTTCAAGTCTCTAAAACAATTATTTCCCTCTCTCTACCCCCTGGTTTAGAAAATGATACAAGGCTGAGTAGAAAAGGAGTTCAAAGGTGATTGGATCATTCTCTGTGAATACACATTGTCCTTTTCATTGTCACCTCTATTAGTTGGTAGGGATGGGTACTGAGGGGTGAGAGAAAGAGAAACGGAGAGAATGAAAGAGAAAACAGAGAGAGATATAGGTGCTGGAGGGCTTGGACCCAGTCTGTGTGCGCTCTCTCACCCTGCTGTTGTTTACCCAAGCTGAACAGTGGGCTCACACCCCTGTCTTTTCATTGTTGCTGGTTTGGAACTAATCCTTCCAATTTCCTTCTGAAACAGGACAAGATGTGCGCCTTATTTATTTATTTACTCGACTTCACATATTCCTCTATTGACTTTTTTTTTCTTCAATGCTCGCTTGCAAATGAGGGTCTGTATGGAGCAGATAAGGCACTCCCAGCCAAGGACTGAGGGCATCAAATCAACCAGGAATAAAAACCAAGAGGCGAGAGGGAGAAATGTCATTTTCCTCAAGGAGACAAGACATACAGCCTACATGGCTTGAGCGGGGCGAGGAGGACATTATATAAGTTATATAAGATCTAAATATGGTGTCCCGTTTGAGTCCAACACCCAAGGTCAGTGAGCAGGACGTGGAGGGGTAAGGAGCTGGATGAGAAGGCTCCCTGGGGAGAAGATGGGAGAGGATGGGCTCTACCATGACATGGTCAGAGGTGGTCTCTGTGATACTCTTATCTACTGTGAGCACCAAACCCCAGAGGCCCACTAAGGCTAATCTATCTACAAAATGGGCTCTCACCAGAGTGGCATTGCTAACCACCTTGGGGTCAAACGGCCCCTCAGAACTTACGTCACGCGGCTTCACTACGCTGATTGGCCCCTGGCAGGGCCTCTGTAATACAAAGCAGGCCTGTGGGCACAAGCTTTTTGGAAAATGAATGTTTCATATTTTACGGGGATTTGACAAGCCTCTTATGATCCCTGTGACCTCCTTTCATGATTGGCTGATTGCTCCGCTGGTAAGTCTGATAAGGTATTGCTGAGACAAACCCCTATTGATCCAATGGGCATGACCGCTTATTCAAAAATAAACAAACAGACAAGGGAAGCAAAACAAACCAAAACAAACAACTCGGGCGAATTACATTAAATCTCAGGGGGAAAATATAGGCAAGAGAAACAGGAATTAAATCACTCCCAGAGGAAAAAGCCGCTGTCCAATTTCTGCTTCCTCCGAGCACGGCTGCTCATAATTCGCAGCGCGGCGAGGCCAGATAAATCTTACATTATCGATATGATCTTCAGGCTCTCAGGCAGGGTGTACGTTATCACAAGTGACATGCTCAATCCCTCCCAGATTAGATTCCCAAACCAGCCCACATCCAGTCTGACAGCGGCTTTGAAGGCCCGAATGAATCAGCCACGCCTCCTCAAACGGAGCACACCTGAACCCGAATGACATCAGTCAGAAGTGATAGAGTCCCTGCCCCATCCATCCCTCTCTCCCTTCCTCCTGCAGACCCCAGGCCATTCATAAATACAGTTGATATACCCGCTCACCCGTCAAAGGCAGAGAGGCATGGGATAGATCTTCTGTTCTTTTTTCATCTTGTCGAACAAGGTTACTTTTTTGTGTGCTTTAGCCTGAGGCCATAGTGGATCTCCTAATGGACAGTTCAATCTAAGGGAGGGTCACAACTCCAGAGAGAGTTTATCTTCACCCTTCTATGTGGGAGATACTTTGGAGAGTGGGGAAAGGTTGAAGTCATTTGTCAGACCTTGTCACAACTTCTAATTTAATCCATCACAATATCAATGGTCTTTTCTTTTTTCAAGTAATATTAGTTATTCTATATTATGTATTATTGCAGCACGTGGAATGCACTCACCTGTCACTGTAGGCAGCAGCTGTGGTGGGCTGGGCGTATCTGTATGCAGCGTAACCCCCCTGTTGGAAACTCAGACAGTTAGACAACCCCCCACAACAGCATGTATATCACCAATATAAACAGGAGGAGAAGAATAGCATTTACTAAAAGATCCAACATCGGGTTTGAAACATTGTCCATTGTTGGGAACATATCAGAACTGCATATTCTGTTCATTTTTCAAGTATTCATATGAAACCATTCAAAAAGTCACATTTCTTTAAATTGAAGAGTATGCACAGAGGCAACGCAAGGTGCAAGACTCCCAGAATACAGCCAGAGGGAGCTGTTTAATATTTGGTGGCTGAGGCAGCGGAGAATGAATGATCCCTGTGAGACTGGGGAGGGGAGCCATGCGTTCCCTCTGGGGGACAGTGCGTGACAGGAGGTGCACAACACGGTCCACATGAGACAGAACAGAACAGTTGTGTGATAACGCTCCCCAAATTCAGTCCACATTCAGAATGGGGAAGCAGCACTGGCCTGCTGCATTATTGAAGAGACCCCTTTTTCTTTACACGTACCATGTTGCACAGGAGCAAACCAAGACGTACAGTGCCTTCAGAAAGTATTCACACCTCTTGAGTTCTTACACATTTTGGTGTGTTACAGCCTGAATTTAAAATGGATTAAATTGAGATGTTGTGTCACTGGCCTACACACAATACCCATAATTCCAAAGTGAAATTCAGACATTTTTACAAATTATTTAAAAATGAAAAGCTGAAATGTCGTCAGTCAATAAGTATTCAACCCCATTGTTATGGCAAGCCTAAATAAGTTCAGGAGTAGAAATGTGCTTAACAAGTCACATAAGTTGAATGGACTCACTCTGTGTGCAATAATAGTGTTTAACATGATTTTTGAATGACTACCTCATCTCTGTACCACACACATACAAGCATCTGTAAGGTCCCTCAGTCGAGCAGTGAATTTCAAACACAGATTAATCCACAAAGACCAGGGAGGTTTTCCAATGCCTCGCAAAGAAGGGCACCTATTGGTAGATGGGTAAAAATAAAAAAAGCAGACATTGAATATCCCTTTGAGCATGGTGAAGTTATTAATTACACTTTGGATGGTGTATCAATACACCCAGTCACTACAAAGATACAGGCGTCCTTCCTAGCTCAGTTGCCTGAGAGGAAGGTAACCTCTCAGGGATTTCACCACGAGGCCAATGGTGACTTTAAAACAGTTTGAGTTTAATGGCTGTAATAGGAGAAAACTGAGGATGGATCAACAACATTGTAGTTAATCCATAATACTAACCTAATTGACAGAGTGAAAAGAAGGAAGCCTGTACAGAATAAAAAATATTCCAAAACACGCATCATGTTTGCAACAAGGCACTAAAGTAAAACTTCAAAGAAATGAACTTTATGTCCTGAATACAAAGCGTTAAGTTTGGGGCAAATCCAACACAATACATCACTGAGTACCACTCTTATATTTTCAAGCATAGTGGTGGCTGCATCATGTTATGGGCATGCTTGTCATCGGCAAGGACTAGGGAGTTTTTTAAGATAAAAAGAAACGGAATAGAGCTAAGCACAGGCAAAATCCTTCCAACAGACACTGGGAGACAAATTCACTTTTCAGCAGGACAATAACCTAAAAGTTGCTTACCAAGATGACATTGAATGTTCCTGAGTGGCCCAGTTACAGTTTTGACTTAAATCAGCTTGAAAATCAATGGCAAGACTTGAAAATGGCTGTCTAGCAATGGTCAACAACCAACTTGACAGATCTTGAATCATTTTAAAAGTAATTATGTGCAAATATTGTACAATCCAGGTGTGCAAAGCTCTTAGAGACTTACCCAGAAAGACCAAAGGAGATTCTAACATGTGTGAATACTTATATAAATAGATATTTCTATATTTCATTTTCAATAAATTAGCAAATATCTCTAAAAACATGTTTTCACTTTGTCATTATGGGGTATTGTGTGTAGATCTGTGAGAAAAATATTTATTTAATCAATGTTGAATTCACGCTGTAACACAACAAAATATGGAATAAGTCAAGGGGTATGAATACTTTCTGAAGGCACTGTAACTGGGGCTTAGTGTTTGGGATGTCAGGACCTGTGTATTAATTTGAGTGGGAGAAGGAATTAAAAACTTGATTGAGGAGAGCAGTCATTACTCCAACTGAAAAATGAAGCTGTTCACCTACTGTTTTTCTATTAGCGCCAATGGAGCGTTGGCCCATCTCCATCCTACATCCTATGGTGGGTATATAGGTGATAGTGCTGAGAGTGCTTTTTGAGTTCGGTTTGGTTTCGGTTTGACTATTAAAAAATAATCACGGTTTTCGTATATATATCTTTTTTTAAACATTAAATGCACTACGCATTATGTCGTTTGAATGCTGTAACAGCACAGAATAAAACAATTAATAAAAGTCCCATGATGGTAGTGACTGTCCATTACGTCAAATGTAAGATACTGCTCTCTATCCCTCTCGATCGCACATCTTCTGTATCTTCTCTCCCTCTCAGTGCGCCCCACACAGACCAGACAAGTAGGTAGTTAATTACCACGTTTTCCGCGATAATCTACGTCAAATATTGGCCTGTTGGAAACTACAACTCCCTACTACATCGCACAATATAGAGAAACTGGGCAAAGTGCGCATTGAGCTCACAGAAAAAAATCAAAATAAATGAGATTTCAGTTAATCGCTCAGCACTAATAGGTGGTTGTTAATGATACATGTTTTCATTTATTTTTTTACTTGGGGAGGGGGGGGTCCAAAGACGAGCTACACTACTGTGGAGATGGAACATCTAACGACTGTGGCCAGGGCTCTTTGGGGAATCAAGTCAGAGGCGCTGGGTTTGAGTCATCCCCCCTGCCCATGGAGGCAGGAAGTAATGGCTAAGGTTTACAGCAACAGAACCCAACAACACACAGCCACAATAAATCACTTGCACACATTGTCAAATCCTGCACACAACAGTCCAACACATTTGTTATTGTGTCTCGCCCCATTGTGTGTACATGCGTGTACACGTCACGTGTGTGCCTGAGTGTGTATGAATATGAATACACCATTCCTAATATACTCCCTGTGAAGCAGGGTCTCATGTTGTGGTATCATCCTGGATGCTCTTTTTAATGGCAAGTGCTTCAGGACTGTTGAAATTAATGGAATTTGACTAGGTCATGACAGTGACAGACATGGCTACTGTCTTCTAAATGATAGTGGAGGACAGAGAGGCTTGTGGGACTTGCTGTTGTTGTCACAGGAGAAAATCTGGGTGCACTCGGGCAGTCTGAAGCCGTTCAGTGTCCGTGCAGTGGCCACTGCCAAAACTAATGTCAGTAAAGCACAGGGGGAAAGACTGACGGCTTGAGCGATGGGGCGAGATACCCCGGGACTGGTCAGAGGGCACTGAGACCCAGGGCTTAGCTGGAGGTGAGGAGAGGAGGGAGGGAGGGAGGGAGGGAGGGAGGGAAGGGGGGAGGGAGGGAGGGAGGGAGGGGGGGAGGGAGGGAGGGGGGAGGGAGGGGTTTGGAGCCAAACACCCAGGGCCGACATGACCGCTTTAAGCCACTTCTCCTCTACAATGTTCACTCTACGGCCACTGGTGTCGCTAACAGCCACTCACAAACAGTGCTACGACATGGGGCTGTGTTTGAGCCATATATCATTGTGGAGTCCAGCACTTTTGTTCCCAGACATTGGCCCTTTGCTCATATGCAGACAGGGTGAAAGTAAGAGGCAATCAGTAGCACTGTTGTCTGGGCCTGCTGTCATCTCCCTATTGCAGAGGACAAAAAAACCTACAGATTCAAACAACAAATTACATCCCCCCCAAACGCTTGGACTGCTGTCAAACTGGGGCAGCGTGGTAATTTCAGCATTATCTCCACAGCGTCCCCCTTTTCTCTGTCAAGGGCAGCGTGCATTGGGGCCGGCCTGACGCTGTGTGTGCTGTGGCCCCTGCCTGCATGGACAGCCCCAGAGGGAAGCTTAATCCCTTTATCTGCCTCCGCTCCTCTTATCTCTCACACCGTGATGGCTGGGAGGCACACAGGCTCACTAAGGCCCCACGATGGCCCCCTGGGCCAGACAGAGAGAGGGCTGTCCCCGCCCAGACACACAGAGACAGACAGAGACAGACAGACAGGCATGTATGTTCGCAAACACGACGCACGCGCACACAAACACACAAACACACAGACAGGCACATACACAAACACACAAACACACAGACAGGTACAGATATAGGGCGGAGACAAGCCACCTCCAAAAGCCATTTTAAGGGGAGAGACGACCCGACTTGACACAGGACACTGAGCTGGGGTCTGTCTGTTTGCCAAAGTCTGACATCATAGGAGAGAGAGGAAGAGGAGGGAGGAGCTGAGGGGGTTTTACATTTTGTTGTCGGGTTTCTTGGCACGGCAGACAGAGGCCTAATCGACGCGGGCTTGGCAGAGAGGCAGAGGGTAACGCTGGGGGCTGGAGAGATTGCGTTTTAGTCTCCAGGGCTGGCTGCTTTTGTCTGCTTTACTTCTGTTTCATCTGAGCACGCAGAGAGAGAAAGAGCCAACGGTACTTACATAGATTTCTGCTCCGTAGAAGCCATCCTGGTACACCACTCTGTGAAATGAGAGAGCAATGGGGGGAGTTAATCTGGGTTATGGGTGGTTTTATATGCAGCCAGATTGGATCGGCACACTGATGTTTTAGATCCTAGCCTATTTCCAATGAGAGCAAGTCAAGCAGACATTTGCATGGCGTAAAACAAGAATGATGGAAGTGGGCTCTGCACGTCTACAGGGTCAGCTCTTAGCAGCTGCAGCGCACTACAAATAATGAATGACATATTTAGGGGGGGAAATGCATCCATTTCACAATTCCCATGCAATTTTCTGCTCTGGTAAAAAAAAAAGGTATTTCCAGTCACTGCAGTGTTGTCAGGAGGCTACGGTGGAGGGGAGGAGGTAGAGAAAGGGACGGGGGGATGAAAAGAGAGAGCTCAGCAGGGAAGGAGCTCGGTCACATGATGCTAACATATAAATCACTGGGACGTCAGGAGAGGAAGTAGGGAGTGGAGAGGAGAGGAGGTGGGGAGAGGAGAGGAGAGGAGAGGAGAGGAGAGGAGAGGAGAGGAGAGGAGAGGAGAGGAGAGGAGAGGAGAGGAGAGGAGAGGAGAGGAGAGGAGAGGAGAGGAGAGGAGAGGAGAGGAGAGGAGAGGAGAGGAGAGGAGAGCCCCAGAGTGGGTGGGAGGTGTAGAGGACCCAGAGTCCTAGGACCCGTCCTCATCACTGGAGCCCTCTCCTCCCCTCTCCTCTCTTCCCCTCTACTCTCCACTCATCGCCACAGACAGGCCCTGATCTAATCACAGATAGCCAGGCAGCCAGGCTAGGCCCAGGGTTAGCTAGACCTCTCCTCTCCCCTACACTCCCATTGCCACCCAGACACCCAGGCAGGCAGCCAGCCAGGCAGGCAGTGTGCTGATAAGAGAGAAGTGTGAGGCTGAATGCTTCACATCAACCAGGAGATCATCACAGTCCAGTGAGACCTGCCCAGTAATATACTATCTCTGCTTTCTATAGCTTCCTATGGCCTTGATATTCATCCTTTGCAACACACACACACACACACACACACACACACACACAGATAGACAGACATACACATTCTGCACTTATGCACAAATGCACACACATGAAATAACACAATTGTTTGCAAATGCAGCCACCAAACGTTTGAGAGTAGAACTGTTATAATAGCATGGTTCATTGTTGATGTTGTCAGTAAAGTGTACTACAGGTCCACAGATACTCACGCTCCATAGGCTGGAATAGGTGGTGGAGGAGGTGCTGTGCGGAAGGTGTTGTACACAGCCCGCCCCCGGCCTCGCAAGTGGGCACCCCTATAGGCCACCGTAGCCCCTGTGGCCGGGTAAGGGAAACCTGTTACTGTGAAAAAAACACATAGGAAGGAGGACTTCAGAGAGATGGAATGTTGGCATTGCTTACATTACTGACAGAACACATTATATAGAGACATGTGGCAGTGGTTTCTCCTATGACAGAATACATTAGGGAAAGACAAAGAAACAATAGATGTAATCTTTTCTGGGTGCGCCTCATCGAGCACTCTCCCCTTCCCCAGTCACTGCTATGTGCCGTACTCAGCAAGGATCCACATTTTGCTGTACGCATCCTTCCTGACGCCGCCTGCCACCGCCTCCCTCGCCACCCAGGGGTAGCCTTGAAACACAGCCTGGTAATGGATGCAATCCCACTAGTTTCACACCGTGGCGTTCACCTGGTTTAGGCAACAGTATGCTAGCTGAGGGGGAGGGGGAAGGTTGTTCTAGGTTGTTGTAGGTAGGTAAGGAGCAGTGTTGTGTGGTGTTGTAGTACAGACAGACAGGTGGGAGGTGAAGGTTGCTGTGCAGCAATGCTGGATGTGCAGGCCCTGGGGGAGCATGGAGCAGATGGGCTGGACAGTGGGACCACTGAGACCCAAACCTCCGGCTGACCCCATCCCACACCCCATCTGTGACCCCCCTCAGCCTATCACAGTCCCACACCTGTCCTCCAGCAGCGGTTACCAGCCAATGGTGATGGGGGATGGGTGGGGGGTGTTGGGGGGAGGTGCCATGGTCAGCGTTATAAATTAGAGGATAGGCTCTGGGCTGGGAGATCCCCAGATCTCTCCTTAACCTTCAATCAGTCCAGTCACTGTCTGATTACGAACTGCCAGCGCTGCATACAAACCCAAACTCACTCTCCTCTCTCTCTCTCTCTCTCTCTCTCTAGATTAACCTGGAAAAATCTCTCTCTCTCTCTCTCTCATCTCTCTATCTCTCTTATCCCTCTCTCTCTTCTCTCTCTCTCTCTCTCTTCTTTCCTCTCTCTTTTCGCCATGATTAACCTGGCAAAAATACAAACACCCTCCCCCCTCTCTCTCTCTCTGTCTCAACATGATTAACCTGGCCCTGTGTTAAAGGTTCCTCCTGCTCTCGCCCCAGAATCCCCCTCTCCTCTCCTCTTCCAATGGACACTAAACACAGTGGAATCACACGTAGTGATTTTACAGTAAGTCTGCAATGGAGTTATATGATACCTCGTATACAGTGAGGGAAAAAAGTATTTGATCCCCTGCTGATTTTATATGTTTGCCCACTGACAAAGAAATGATGAGTCTATAATTTTAATGGTAGGTTTATTTGAACAGTGAGAGACAGAATAACAACAACAAAATCCAGAAAAACGCATGTCAAAAATTTTTATGAATTGATTTGCATTTTAATGAGGGAAATACGACTGGAATGGGCTACAAGACCATCGCCAAGCAGCTTGGTGAGAAGGTGACAACAGTTGGTGCGATTATTCGCAAAATGGAAAAGAAACACAAAAGACCTGTCAATCTCCCTCGGCCTGGGGCTCCAAGCAAGATCTCACCTCGTGGAGTTGCAATGATCATGAGAATGGTGAGGAATCAGCCCAGAACTACACGGGAGGATCTTGTCAATGATCTCAAGGCAGCTGGGACCATAGTCACCAAGAAAACAATTGGTAACACACTACGCCATGAAGGACTGAAATCCTGCAGCGCCCGCAAGGTCCCCCTGCTCAAGAAAGCACATATACATGCCCGTCTGAAGTTTGCCAATGAACATCTGAATGATTCAGAGGAGAACTGGGTGAAAGTGTTGTGGTCAGATGAGACCAAAATGGAGCTCTTTGGCATCAACTCAACTCGCAGTGTTTGGAGGGAGGAGGAATGCTGCCTATGACCCCAAGAACACCATCCCCACCGTCAAACATGGAGGTGGAAAATTATGCTTTGGGGGTGTTTTTTTGCTAAGGGGACAGGACAACTTCACCGCATCAAAGGGACGATGGGCAGGGCCATGTACCGTCAAATCTTGGGTGAGAACCTCCTTCCCTCAGCCAGGGCATTGAAAATGGGTCGTGGATGGGTATTCCAGCATGACAATGACCCAAAACACACAGCCAAGGCAACAAAGGAGTGGCTCAAGAAGAAGCACATTAAGGTCCTGGAGTGGCCTAGCCAGTCTCCAGACCTTAATCCCATAGAAAATCTGTGGAGGAAGCTGAAGGTTCGAGTTGCCAAACGTCAGCCTCAAAACCTTAATGACTTGGAGAAGATCTGCAAAGAGGAGTTGGACAAAATCCCTCCTGAGATGTGTGCAAACCTGGTGGCCAACTACAAAAAACGTCTGACCTCTGTGATTGCCAACAAGGGTTTGCCACCAAGTACTAAGTCATGTTTTGCAGAGGGGTCAAATACTTATTTCCCTCATTAAAATGCAAATCAATTTATAACATTTTTGACATGCAGTTTTCTGGATTTTGTTGTTGTTATTCTGTCTCTCACTGTTCAAATAAACCTACCATTAAAATTATAGACTGATCATTTCTTTGTCAGTGGGCAAACGTACAAAATCAGCAGGGGATCAAATACTTTTTTCCCTCACTGTAGAACCACTCCTATAGACCGGTATAGGATTTAGCCTGGGGGACAATGGCCATTACGGCTAGCTGTATGTAGTGTAATGTAGTGTTAACCCTGCAGGTGGATGGGATTGGGAAGCGTCCTAATGAACAGTACACACCAGCAACCCTGCTGACAGGGAGACAGATTAGTGGTGGTTTTAAAAACACGGACAGCCAGGTTTAATGTCTGACGCCATTAACATCTCCCTCCATTAGGGGCTCCACACATATTCAACTCCTGCATGTCATTTGGGCGGGAAACTCCCCCTATTTCCTCCCGAGCAGCCAGGGCACTTTGTTTGCTGCCGACCCAGCAGCAATAAACTGGTAAGACTCACAAGGTGGCCCTTTCGCTTTGGTGATTTATAATGCTGACCTTGACATTTAAATTAGTCTTTTTTTGGGAGAGTCTGACATATAAGCTCAGTTGCTAAATGGCAAAAACAATCCTCTTTGATATTTTCAGGAGTTTTTTTTTTCTCCCTTGTACAAATCGCTAGCATTTTTAGGGCTCCAAATCTTCAATTTCCTTCTTTTAGGTGGGGGGGGGGGGGGGGGGGGGGGGGGGGGGGGGTGGGGGGGGTTTGCAATCTGCGTTCTATGATATATGTGAATGTAAACTCATAATGAGTTGGCGATAGGCTACACTGCTTCAATAATAACCCATAAATCAAAAGTTGTTGTCACACTTTGGTAAACCCATGAAAAGCAACAACAGCTACAGCGGCGTTTGGGAGCACAAAACTGGTCTAGCCACCAAAGTCAAACACCTTTCTGAGAGAGAGAGGATGGATGGCTGGGGGAAAATCGGAGTAATGTGCTGGAGGGCGGCAGGGTCACACCGCACCTCATATGTCATATGTGTCAAGTTGAGGGGAGCTCAATACCTTTACACAGCCAGCCAGCCAGTCGGACCTAACCTCTCCTAATCCTGCTCTGTGCAAATTATGGGGTCAAAGCCAGCCTTGAAAAAAAATTCTCACTGTTGATCTCTTTAATGCTTCCTTCTCAAATAAGTCAGTGGAATGAGCACTTAATTCAAGCACTGGGGACCCAAAACAGCTTAATCTAATCAAGTCACTGGAGCTTAATTATCCCCTCAACAATGAGAGGATCTGTCCAGATATATTAATATGACAATTAGCCTTTCTATTCTGTCATTTACTCAGCTGGTGGCTTTCAGACGGTCCACACCAAACTTCACCTTTGGAAGTGAAAACATCAAGAGCTCTACTCATCTCCTTCTATCCCCTTAGGAATTAGTAGCAGAGAGAGAAGAAGTGGCTCTCTGACTCGTACAGTCTTGTTTGAAATGGATTCCCTGGTTCAGTTAGTGTAGGCAGGCAGAGCGGCTTGGTAGCTGTCAATTGTGCTGAAATTGACACACCATGCTATAGAAAAGACTAGGAAATACACCATTGAAATACATCCTACCATCATCATGAGTTGAGGTATTACATAATATTCATATTTTCATAGTAATATACATTTCTCCCTGGAGATGTATTTTGACGAAAATACAACAAAATATCCCCCATACTAGACAATGCTATCTGTCTCTGCCCTAATATCTCTCACCCTCTACCCCCCCCCACCCCCTACCCCCCCAGTCCATTTGAGTGGGAACCCAATGCGCCTGCTGTTCACAGGACCCCCTCCACAGCTCCCTTACGGAGGGCTCCAGGGAAGTCTTGGGTTGCAGGGGGAGAGGAGGCAGGAGGCAGCAGAGGACATGGGTCCGGGGGTACACACCACAGGGCTGGGGCTGGTGCCGCCACTACCCCAGTCACCGCCACGCAGCCTCCTATCAGTAGGAGGAGCCAGTGTACCCTGCAAGAGGTTAAGAGCAGGGAGCCTGCGTGAAGCTCTCATCCGTCATTCTCCTGAATGGGTTTTGAGGACAATAAACCTGTAGCGCCAGGACGAATGGAGACGGAGTGCGCTGTCACCACACCACGATTTATAGCTCCCAATTTCACTGATCTCCCGCACAGAAATTAGGACTGATAAACAGTGATTAATCACCTTTACATCCCATTTCACTCCCACCCAAAGTATATTAAATGTAGCCATGATTATTCAAGAATACCTCCATGGATGGAACCACTAAAATGTGTTTCTTCTTTCGGGGTCAGCTGTTGTTTAAAGGCAGACCTGTTGGCTCCTAGTTAGGCCTTTTTGTTACAGAAAGGTATCTCTTATTTATGTTTCCCATGTCCCCAGCTGGCAAGCATATGTTGTCGTTTAGGCTTGGCAAACTTCAGCGCCATGTCAAGACGACTTGAAAAATTAGCAGCCAATAAATCACCATCGCCCCCCGCTTCCCCTGCCTGGAATGGTGGACCACACTCCCTCTGATTTATTACATGATTTGGGCTAGTGTGTTTGTGTGTGTGTGTATCTGTGTGAGTGTGTTTGTGTGTGTGTGTGTGTGTTTGTGTGTGTGTGTGTGTGTGTGTGTGTACGTGCATGTGTGCTGCATAGGTCAGAATATGTGTGTATAGGAATGTGTGAATCTATAAATGAAAAAATGTGAGTGTTGTGAATATATAAACATATCTTGGTGTGTATTCATTTGTATGGGATCTGCATGATTTTGAATGCATCTGAGTATTTCATGAGGAGTGTGTTTGTGTGTATTGGGAAAGGGATGGTGGTGTGTGTGTGTATGGGGGGGGGGGGGGGTGTAATTGTCAAGGGAAGATGGTGTTGGAACAGGGGGAGTGTTGGGGGGAAGGTGAGGGGGTTGAGGAGGAGGGTGAGAGGGTCTGGAGATGAAATGAAAATGATAGATGACTGCTTTCTGTCATGGACAGTTATTTAGAGGTTCGCCGTAAAGCTGTCCGGGGAATGAACAGATTTTAGTCTAATGAGCAGAAAGGAAAGCCGTTAAAGTGGCGCGATGTGCTCAGCACTTCTTCCAAATGAAATAGTACCATTTCCCCCTCATTAAAATGCAAAGGGTTCATATAACATACAGCAATAAAAGTGGCATGTAGAGGGAGAGAGATAGGGAAAACCCCACTGAGCTTGTCTCATTCCTCCATTACCCTGACCATGAGGAATACCAGCCTTCGACATGGAAGGTGCCAAAAATATCGCTCACTCAATCTCCCTTATTTGGTTAGGTCTGTAAAAGTCAATCTGGTGCACTTGGCAAATCCATCCACGGCAGCAGCCTCCCCAATCTGATAACAGTTGCTGGGGTGGCATGGTCTTAAAATCATTTTTTCGGCTTTACAGTGCACACCCCACAAACAATTGCTCAGGTTGCCTCCACTCTCTCTGTGAGGCTTGGATCATCCACTTCTTATCTGGCCCACAGTTCTATTCCAGATCCACTTTGATCTACAGAGAATGTTGTGTTGGAAGCAGGTTGAGACTGAGCCAGGTTCTAATAAAACCAGTGGGTAGACGTGGATTGGGTCTGTGTGATAGAAGCACTGCTAGAGTGTAGTAGTGCTAGAGTGGTGCTAGACTAGAGGAGTGTAGTAGAGCTAGAGTGGTGCTAGACTAGAGGGGTGTAGTAGAGCTAGAGTGGTGCTAGACTAGAGGAGTGTAGTAGAGCTAGAGTGGTGCTAGACTAGAGGGGTGTAGTAGAGCTAGAGTGGTGCTAGACTAGAGGGGTGTAGTAGAGCTAGAGTGGTGCTAGACTAGAGGGGTGTAGTAGAGCTAGAGTGGTGCTAGACTAGAGGGGTGTAGTAGAGCTAGAGTGGTGCTAGACTAGAGGAGTGGAGTAGAGCTAGAGTGGTGCTAGACTAGAGGAGTGTAGTAGAGCTAGAGTGGTGCTAGACTAGAGGAGTGTAGTAGAGCTAGAGTGGTGCTAGACTAGAGGGGTGTAGTAGAGCTAGAGTGGTGCTAGACTAGAGGGGTGTAGTAGAGCTAGAGTGGTGCTAGACTAGAGGGGTGTAGTAGAGCTAGAGTGGTGCTAGACTAGAGGAGTGGAGTAGAGCTAGAGTGGTGCTAGACTAGAGGAGTGTAATAGTGCTAGAGTGGTGCTAGACTAGAGGGGTGTAGTAGAGCTAGAGTGGTGCTAGACTAGAGGGGTGTAGTAGAGCTAGAGTGGTGCTATACTAGAGGAGTGTAGTAGAGCTAGAGTGGTGCTAGACTAGAGGAGTGGAGTAGAGCTAGAGTGGTGCAGGACTAGAGGAGTGTAGTAGAGCTAGAGTGGTGCTAGACTAGAGGAGTGTAGTAGAGCTAGAGTGGTGCTAGACTAGAGGGGTGTAGTAGAGCTAGAGTGGTGCTAGACTAGAGGAGTGTAGTAGAGCTAGAGTGGTGCTAGACTAGAGGAGTGGAGTAGAGCTAGAGTGGTGCTAGACTAGAGGAGTGGAGTAAAGCTAGAGTGGTGCAGGACTAGAGGAGTGGAGTAGAGAAGGATCTCCTACCGGCATACAGTTCAGGACCATAGACAGCTCCCACCACAGGGTTCAGCTTCCAGCCTATGGGGAGAGAGATAGAGAGACAGAGAAAGAGAGAGAGAAAGAGAGAGAGAGAGATTGAGAGAAGAGAGAGAGATAGAGAGAGAGGAGAGAGTGTGTATGGGTTAAGCAGGGTTAAACAAAGTAAGAGAACCCCAAACTAGTGAATATTGTCCTTCATGTACAGTATCTGAACAAAGTTGTAGCTTAGACAAGAGGCAGATTTTACCATTTGTGTACGGGTTGGCCACTTTTTTGTTTGTCATCACTCTTGCTGTTGCATTGTTCACCTGTTCCCCCAAAAAACAAAATGGTGCCACAGTTATAAAATACCCATCCAAAAGGCAGGCCAAATGACTGGCAGAGAAATACCACACAAATTCAGTAAAATTAGTCTGAATTATGCAAATGACCATAGAAGTTCACAAGACTGGAGAGGTTCAATTAGCCAGAGGAGACAATGGCCTTAAATCACCTTTACATTAATGTATTCATGATTTACATTTTCTTTTGAGATGATTCTATTACTGTAGCAAGTGGGAAAGCATGCACCAATTACCTACGGATATGAAAGAGAAAAAGCCAAAAGCAACACAGGTAATTGGTTGGATAAACAAACGTATTCAAAAGAAAAACAAAAAAAGACAGACCACTTAGATTCCCTCCATTTTGACCTGATGGGAATGACTGAATAGTGGCCTTCATTTATAGTAAACAAGACCAACATGAAAAGTATTATTCTTTTTTAAACAGGCAAGACCAATTGATGTCAACAGGGTGTGTTGGTAGGTAGGTAGGTAGGTCTTCTTTATCCAGATATGACAGTGAGGTCCTTATGGGATGATGAGAGCATACATTCCCTCTCCAGGCATAATGATGGAAAACTGGCACGTCCATCTTGACATGTATGGATCCCTGGTTCCACTGAGTGCTTCCGACACATACCAATATGCATGCACACACACACACACACACACACACACACACGACACACACACACACACAGCGGGCACATGCTTATATGCAGGTATCTTGTGGGACAAAGGTGAGAGCAGGGGCAAGGGAGAGGTCAGCAGGCAGGAGGTAGAAGAGGAAGAAGAAGAAGAAGAAGAAGAAAGGAAACAGGAAATAAGGAAAAGCACCTCTATTTTGCGTCCCTCTACGATTGTACCGTTTAGTTTCTCCCGTGCACGGTCGGCATCTGTGCTCGTTTCAAAAGTTACAAACCCAAAGCCCTAAGAGAGAGCCACGTGTGTCACCAGGCCAGTAAGACAGACAGGGACAGGAAGGTAGACAGGATGGGTAAAAGATTGGGTAGGAGGGGGATTAGGGACACACAGAGAGGAAGGAGAGAGGGGGAAGAAGAGAGAGAAGACAGGACTAGGTGAGCAGCAGGAAGTAGAGTTGTACATAAGCAGTGTTATTAATTCTGTGGTTGTTAGCGAGACGTCAGGAGCAGCAAACAGAGAGATTCAAGGAGAGGTAACGATGACACAGCCTCACACACAGACACACCAACACTAACAAACCTGCCTGTTTTACCCAATTAAACACCACAAACCACCTCTGGAGAATGTCACTGAGCATCGCAGGCATTACACTCTGTTACGCAACATTATAGTCTAATCATTATTGTGAAGACTTCAACAGTATCCTTAGGAAAAACAACACCCAACCCCCACTGGAATGAGATGAAGTTGAGCAAGGAAGGAATATTCATAAATTCTTCAAGCAATTTAGTTTAATTCGATCATCAACCATTTATAATCCATTACAATAGCCAAAGTATGCTCTGTAGCAATTAAATTAAGCCATATGTTGGCTCTTTTTCTTAGACATATCATTATATTACCATTCATCATTGTATTAGCTGTGTCTAAAATCTGATGGGGGCATTTACCATACTATCAAGGTATTGGTTGGTAATAAAGGTAGCTATACATATCACCAACAACATATGTACATTAATAAATCACATTCTACCTCTAAGGAGGTGGAAGAAAAAAACACTGGCTTTACAATGGGGATATCTCCTTTAAACTCACACCGAAATACCCTCCTCCCCATCCCCCATCCTCCACCCCCACGTGCCCCCTCCCCTGAGGCCTTTGTCACCAGCTTGAGTTATGGGGACTGGGAGACAAGGCCTGAGATCCATCACCAGCCTTAAGATATGCTGGCCCAACAAGTCCCAGTCCTTTAGTTTCTATATATACATATACAGGGATGGGAGGGAGAGGGAGCCACGGCCAGGCTGATAATTGCTTGAAGATATATAATACTTGTGAGAGATGGAGAGCATTGTGATCTTGTATGCATACACAGGATCTGCGAGCTCCTATTTTGAGCATAAATAACACGGTAGCTGTCCTTGGGGAGAGAGAGATAAAGAAATAAATTCAAAAAGGAATTGAGGGCAAAATTAATCCTTTAGACATTTCGCCTGACTATGGTTGGCCCCTCTATCTTTTTTTTATCATGCACAAATAATTAGCTTACACAGAGGGAGAATGGAGCCTCCATTTTTCAAAGGAGACAAACATATTGAACGCAAATTGCCAAAGCTTCATAGAAAATAGATTGTTTATTAATGGCCTGCTAGGTTCATTATATAGCGTGCAGGGTGCAGGAGAGAGGCATCATGGGTAATGGCTTTGTAGGGCACAAACAATAAATGCTTGTTACGGCGGAGGAGGCAGCTTTATCCGGTGCTCAATCTTGTCTGGCTGTGGGGGCTGAGTTGGAGCAGAGTATAGGTTCCCAGATGGGGGCTGGCTGTATACCTTACACAGACCCCAAACTACCAGGTAGGAGTGGGAATCGATCCCATTCATGGTTGAACACCCAGCTAGAGGAGGCTGTCTAATTTATGAATGGAATGCTCTGGAGCTTGGCACAGACGCTTAAATAAACAGTGGATGACTAGCACTGGGCTGTTTACACTAGAGGATGTTATATAGGACATGGTATAGAGCTACTGTACATGTATAGACACTGAGCCTGTTTTGGCGGTGATGGTTCTATTTTTGCTAAAGCACTTGATATTTGATCTGGGTTGACTATTAGACTCTCAAAACTAGAGGTCTGTATTCCTGGTCCGGAGAGATTTTGAAACAGCTCAATCACAGATTGATTGATTGACAGGGGTAATGATTCCCCAACTGAGCACAAAGCTAGAACAACAACCAAAGAGGCAGCAGAGAGAGGAGTGAATGCCTGAACGCAGCTCTCCAGCTCTCCAGGACCAGGCTTAGAGAACACTAGTCTGAGCCAATGTACACACGGCACTAATGCCATCATTACTAAACAGAAGAAGTACATGGTAATGAAGCAGCTGGGGTTCTAGTTCACTTACTTTGGATCCTCGCTCATTAAAGATAATCTCCACATCTAGAATCTTTCCAAATTGCTGCGGTGAGAAAGGAGACAAGAGAGGAGAGATGGAGTTATGAAAAGAGTCAGAAAATGGTTATTGTTGCCATGCATTTAATGTTACAATTGTTATGCAATGATGTCAAATATATATTGTGAGCTTATCAAATTATGTATTTTTTAATGCAAAATAAAGGTACTGTGTTATCTGTGTTATTTCTATTTCATGAAATCAATTACGTAAACAATTGTTAAAACAAATATTGTAAACACAGTAGAGTTAGAGAAACAGAAGATATTTCACACAGAGAAAAGCTACATCAACATATGGCAAGGTGGTTGTTTGTAAGGTTGTGATGTGAAGCAGCTCCTGAGGAAAACTACTTTTCTCAAATCCCTGAAACTGGGATTTGACATGAAGAGACAGACCAGCAGGGCTTCTGCCTGCCCAACAAACAGGTGGCTTTCTTTCTATCTACACAGGTTCCTGCCATTTTCTCTCTCTTTCGCCTCCTCTCCTTTTCTCGCTCTTTGTTGGTGTGAGTGTGTGTTGTTTTCCCAGTGAACAGGATTCGAGGGATGGTCCCAAGGGGTTAACATGCTCAAGCCTTTCGATTTAACAGGCTCGACTTCGGAGCATTAGAAAACAGAGGAATGAAAGCCAATCGCAAGTTCCCCCTAATGAGTGGAGTGAGAGCCACTTTTAATTGCTGTCTACAATGGCCGTATTATTTCATTAAAAGTAATTACCCTGTCAAGCGGTCCGCATCGCCTTCATTTGGGCACAACAGGGAAGAAATAGGCCTTCCATGTGGTCGGCACTCAATGGGAATGGATGGATCATTTTGACTGAGCCACTAATAGGGGTTAGGAAGAACCGGCTATTATCTGCCTGCTCCGGCCATAGGAGAGTGAGGAGAGTGATGAGGGGAGTGGGTCTGGTGGAGAAGCAGGGTTTATGGGCTGGCAAAACACATATGACATCCTTCATCCCCAAGGGTCAAGTGCTGACCCCCACAACGCCTGAGAAAAAAAGTCAGAGTTATTTATGACCTTCCCAACAGGCAACGGCCAGGGGCGTACATCTTTTTCATCTGGGATTGCAATTCTACATAGGCCCCCTCTCCACATCTGCCTCGTATGGCGCTCAGCTCCATTGATTCCAATGGTAGCGCTTTACCGCACCCGGCTCCATCACACACAGAGGCATTTACATCCCAGCGTGGTGCCCCTCTTTGCATGAGATGACAATGCTTCCCCATGCAATGTGCAGATGCTAATTGTTTTAACCAAGAGTAATGGGCTTGTGGCGTCAATTAATTCGTTTCTGGGGAAGTCATCTTTCCCACATGGCACCGGGGATCTCAGCCGCTCCGCTCCCACACTATCCTCCCTCCCTACACCCCTCCACGCCCCAGCTCAGCCCCAGCTCAGCGCAAACAGCTGCATCAGCACCACCGCCAATAAACAATGGCATCAATCGGAGGGGTCTCAGGAGACAGAGACAGAGCTGGGGGACTGACGTCACCTCCTTCCTCACCCCCAGATCAGCCATAGTAAACAATCAACATATCAATAAGGAAATTAGAAAAAATCATAGGCGCTAGTTAATATTTGTATCTCGTGAACTCTTTTTTATGAGGCCTCGCTCGTTCGTTCCACTTCCTATCTGAGATGCAAATGCATTTCTACACTGTGATCAACTGGAATGCAGAGCTATCAACCACGGATAGGGTACCGTATGTATCCCTGCTTCTGATAGGCTACAACACTTGAATGCTGTGAGGAGGCTAGCTATCATTAACATAATACAGCATGGTGTAGTAGTGTAGAGTGTTGCTACTGTCTGGGAGTAGCAGAGTAGGGGCTGGTGAGATAGACTGGAGCTCAGTGTGAAAGCATGGGGGCCAGAGGTCTGATTGCCCAGAGATGTTTCTTCATTGAATGCCCTTGTCAAGCAGCCGAGAAGGAGTACTGTTAAAGAACCCAGGAGCAGAATGAGGAGGACACCCTCAAGCAGCACAGCATGGTACGCCGCGCTACCCGAGCTAGCGCTGCTTTGAGTGTTTTCCTTTCACTCCTCTAATCGCCCGCTCTCTCAAATATCACACTTTTCTAATCACTGATTAAGGTCCGCAGCAGTCGCCTTAATGAGGCTTTCATTCTGCGCCTCGTTAGTGACTCAGAGGGTCATCCTCTGCACCCTTAACCCCTACGGAGGGGTAGGGTAACTCTCAGACCCTCCCTCCTTGTTTAGGGGCTAGCTAGCGTCTGTGTTAGCTCTCTGCTGGTGGCTGATGGAGGGCCCATGCTAAGCGTGCAAGTCACTGGAAAGCTGGAGAGAGGGGCTCTTCACACCGTGTGGGAGCAGATGGAGCTCCTGGGGGCTTGGCAGCAGCACTCGGTTCGGCTGCGCTGCGCTGGGTTCCACTGCTCCACCATTGGCACATGCACCATCTCACCGTTACCTTTCCCTTTCGCTTTCCTCTGCCTGCCTGTATGTCTGCGGGCTCTGCTCATGTGTAACGGTAATGGTGTATTGAGCCCCTGGCGGCAGGTCAGCCATTAGAGCCAGAGGGATGGGGCTGCACACCACTGATCACACACACACACAGAGTCATTGTGGAGGCCATGTCCAGGGGTGGAGCCGGAGCTGAGCAGGCACGTTAATACAGCACAGACATGCTATCTCCTCTCCCAACCAGCAACCAGCTCTGCCCACAACCATCAATCCCAGGACCCAGCCATCGACTGCCTGGAAAGTTAGGGAGGGGAGGGCTGCTGGGAGGGCCACTGCACACACACGTCGGCCGGGCACACAAAGCCTCCAAGCTAATTACTGAGGCAATTTGGATTCCACAGGACCTGCTCCAGAGCTGGAAACAATAAACCCAACAATCAGACAGCACAGGAAGGAGAGAGTGAGAGAGAGAGAGAGGAGAGAGAGAGAGAGAGAAGAGAGAGAGGAGAGAGAGAGAGAGAGAGAGAGAGAGAGAGAGAGAGAGAGAGCGTGGGAGAGGAACAGAGAGGAGAGAGGAGAGAGACGCGAGAGAGAGGGGAGCGGGAGCGGAGAGGGAGACAGGGGAGAGGCCGCCCGTGTTCGTCAGTAATTTATTACGCCGTATCCAGGGCTCTCCTGTAATTAATATTATCAGTTTGACGTCGTCTCCATAATGATGAAAATTAACGCCTGTAGCTTATAATGACCTAAATTAGCGTTTGCAACATTCAAATTATATTTTTGGGCAATGCTCCCGATTCGGATCCATTATAATTCTATACTTTTTTTGTTGTGTTAATTTTTAGGACTGGTGTGAAATGCGAGACAGAGAAGTTACACTTCAAGGTAAAAGAGAGTACACCTGTTCAGGGATCAGGATGAATGTGTGTCTGGACTTTCTAGAGAGAGAGAGAGAGAGAGAGACAATACACACTCCAGGCAGGTACCGTGACATGCGTGGGTGGGTAAAGAATGGTTTCTCCCAGTGAATCTAGGGAGAGGGAAGGGATCTCACCCCAAACATTTGCCGCAGGTCGGGGTCGCGGAAGCGGAAGGGGATGTTGGAGACGTGTAACCTCTTGGGCTGCTGCTTCTCCGAGGAGTCCGAAAGCTGCAGCTGGAGCTGCAGGGAGACCTCTGATTGCGTCACGTCATCTGTCTGCCAGAGGGAAACAAACAGCAGAAAGACACAAGCAGCTCATTAGTTCCTACTACTGTACCTTCGGGTCACATGGTGAGGGGGAAGAGAGACAGAGGAGGACCGGCTAACTAACTTAGCTATTTTTCAATCTGGCGAGAAGCAGAACACGATAAACAGCTGATGAGTTATGGTTTAAAACCTGAGGTCATGCATTACAAATCTGCTTATTAATCTCTTGCACTTAGCTTCTGGAGCCACAGGAAAGAAAGATTGAGGGGTTTGACAGAAAGGCATGGATATAGATCCTAGCGCTTCTGACACATCTAGACTTGAGACACATTATTGGTGGTGTTTGCTCAGTGCCGTAGGAGTGCAGAGGCCCAGAGCTCCTACGTTGTTGTCTCCATCATTATGTGAATGCAATGCTGACATTGTGATATAAATGACATGTCTGATGTCTATGACAAATCCGACTTGTTTCTCCCTCAGACAAGAGTGATGAATTTCAACACGGCTGCTGGCTTGTTTACTCAAACCGACCCAGTTTCAGAGGAAGATGGTTTCACAAGATTTGTTTTCTGTAAAAAACTTCACTGGTCATCAGAACCATTTATCCTCTCCATGGAAGGATCATTAGGGACCAACTCTGTCTGCATAACAACAAATTGGATCATTTAAATGTGTTTACCAAAATTAAAACACAGACATCTTACAGACACTTCTGGTGTTGTGAAATAAATGAAAAAATGATGAGAGGAGGGAGAAAAAAGAGAGAGAGAAAGAAAAAGAAAATGAGAGAGGGAACATAAGGAGCGAGGTCTGGCTTAGAGAGAGAGATGGTACAATAAGGAGTGAGGCCTGGTTTAGAGAGAGAGAGGGTACAATAAGGAGTGAGGCCTGGTTTAGAGAGAGAGAGGGAACAATAAGGAGTGAGGCCTGGTTTAGAGAGAGAGAGGGTACAATAAGGAGCGAGGTCTGGCTTAGAGAGAGAGATGGTACAATAAGGAGCGAGGCCTGGTTTAGAGAGAGAGAGGGTACAATAAGGAGCGAGGCCTGGTTTAGAGAGAGAGAGGGAACAATAAGGAGCGAGGCCTGGTTTAGAGAGAGAGAGGGTACAATAAGGAGCGAGGCCTGGTTTAGAGAGAGAGAGGGTACAATAAGGAGCGAGGTCTGGTTTAGAGAGAGAGAGGGTACAATAAGGAGCGAGGCCTGGTTTAGAGAGAGAGATGGTACAATAAGGAGCGAGGTCTGGTTTAGAGAGAGAGAGGGTACAATAAGGAGTGAGGCCTGGTTTAGAGAGAGAGAGGGTACAATAAGGAGCGAGGCTGGCTTAGAGAGAGAGAGGTGTACAATAAGGAGTCGAGGCCTGGTTAGAGAGAGAGATGGTACAATAAGGAAGGCTGAGGCTGGGTCATAGAGACGAGAGAGAGGTACAATAAGGAGCGAGGCTGGTAGAGAGAGAGAGGGTACAATAAGGAGAGCGGAGAGAGAGAGGAAATGAGGAGGTGTAGAGAGAGAGAGGAGAGTGAAGGGGGTAGAGGAGGAGAGCTGGATAGTGTTAGAGAGAGGAGAGTGACAATAAGGAGCGAGGCATGGTTAGAGAGAGAGAGGGTAAAAAGAGCGAGGCCTAGGTTTAGAGAGAGAGAGGGTAAAAATAAGAAGCGAAGGACAGGAGGCTTAGATGAGAAACAAAAAAGGTACATGGAGCAGGCTGCAGACGAGAACACACGAACACGGACACACACAGACATCTCTCCACCCTCCAACAACCCGCACCCTGCTCCAAGGCCGTCGGGTGGCTGCAGACCCCTGGGTGATACATCTCCCGCCATTTAGGAAATGGGCTAGGGATTTATTCATTATAATTCATCATCACAGTATTATCATTATCATCATGATCGTAATGATGATCGCCTTTATTATTCTCATTATCATAATCACAATCTCCACTGTAATGGCCCTCATTTATTTGCTTTTATGGCCCATTCGGAGATGGTGACATACATTGTTAACACTGACAGTTGTTTGATTCAAGGTCCCACTTAGTCTCCCCTCCAGCCATCCAGGTAGGGCACGGTGGTGATGGCAGGTCTGAAAGTCCTGTGTTCAGTGATGTTCAGTGATGTTTAGTGATGTTCAGAGGTTATCATGTGGAGAAGGGCACAGGAGCCAGTAGGGTCAGACAGTAGGGAGGGGTGATGAGGTCTGAGTCGGTTCAGAGCTGGCAGAGAGTGGAGGGGTGAGCTGGGCTAGCTAGCTCCAGTATCAGGCTGGTGAGTGGAGGGGAGCGGTAGCTAGTCGTAGGTGGAGTAGTGGAGGGGTGAGCTGGGCTAGTAGCTAGCTCCAGTATCAGGCTGGTGGAGTAGTGGAGGGGTGAGCTGGGCTAGCTAGCTCCAGTATCAGGCTGGTGGGTAGTGGAGGGGTGAGCTGGGCTAGCTAGCTCCAGTATCAGGCTGGTGGAGTAGTGGAGGGGTGAGCTGGGCTAGCTAGCTAGCTCCAGTATCAGACTGGTGGAGTAGTGGAGGGGTGAGCTGGGCTAGCTAGCTCCAGTATCAGGCTGGTTGGGTAGTGGAGGGGTGAGCTGGGCTAGCTAGCTCCAGTATCAGGCTGGTAGAGTAGTAGAGGGGTGAGCTGGGCTAGCTAGCTAGCTCCAGTATCAGACTGATGGAGTAGTGAGGGTGAGCTGGGCTAGCTGCTCAGTATAGGCTGTGGGTAGTGGAGGGGTGAGCGGGTAGCTAGCTCCAGTATCAGGCTGGTGGAGTAGTGAGGGGTGAGCTGGGCTAGCTAGCTAGCTCCAGTATCAGACTGGTGGAGTAGTGGAGGGGTGAGCTGGGCTAGCTAGCTCCAGTATCAGGCTGGTGGAGTAGTGGAGGGGTGAGCTGGGCTAGCTAGCTAGCTCCAGTATAGGACTGGTATTGGGTAGTGAGGGGTGAGCTGGGCTAGCTAGCTAGCTCCAGTATCAGACTGGTGAGAGTAGTGAGGGGTGAGCTGGGCTAGAGCTAGCTCCAGTATCAGGCTGATAGAGTAGTGGAGGGGTGAGCTGGGCTAGCTAGCTAGCTCCAGTATCAGACTGGTGGAGTAGTGGAGGGGTGAGCTGGGCTAGCTAGCTAGCTCCAGTATCAGACTGGTGGAGTAGTGGAGGGGTGAGCTGGGCTAGCTAGCCTCCAGTATCAGGCTGGTGGGTAGTGGAGGGGTGAGCTGGGCTAGCTAGCTCCAGTATCAGGCTGGTAGAGTAGTGGGTGACAGAGTGAAAAGGGAGGAGGGAGGAAGGGGGTCTTCAGTGTTCCATGTCCTCCTGTGCTAGAGGTTAATAGCCTGAGTAGCCATGTTGGGTCCCAGGGTGACACACGGCAGACAGATGCCCGACTACTGTGGAGGGTGATAAGGCATTAGGGACCACGGGTCAATCTGTTTCATCGGTCACACATGACACTCTCGACCTTTACCGTATGTTACCAGACTACACAACGACTGACTCACTGTCCTGTCCTCCAGCTTGGCTACTGGCTTCTTATCATGGGGTCCTCTAGCTGTGTGTTAGCAAACCTCCAGATTCCCTTTTACTTCACACACTTCTTCCATACTGACTAGAGGGTAAATACAAATACGACTGACACTCATCCACCTATAGCTATCTCTGTGTCTCTGTTAGTGAGTTTAGCGCCATTGTATCTCCATTGCTCCTCCTGAGGGATAATCCGGATCCGGGCTGGTTGAGAGAAGGTGAGATGGTTTCAGTGTAAAATAATGACATGCGTATTACCATAGGACAGGGGTCTACAACCTTTTCTTGCCCAGGGACCCTTTCCCAGGCAACCGGCGACCCAGGGACCCCCATCATTCGCTAGGAAATAAATAAATTTCACGTCTTGTCTTATCATCTGGGTAATGATAAAGGCAAGGAAAAGTTATCAACATTTAAAATGAATAGATTTGGTAGATAGTTTTTCATTATTTTGACCTCCCCACATTATAATTGGAAGAGGAAGTGTAAACTCTTGTGTGTAAACTTGTTGTGTGTATGTACTGACATGTATGTGTACTGATAGATGCACACACACGCACACTACATGTTGTTTTTAAATGTATGTAACTTTATTTGTCGGACCCCAGTAAGACTAGCTGTCGCAATTGGCGTCGGCTAATGGGGATCCTAATAAATCAAATCAAATCAAAAACTCTAACATAGCCTATTAGCTAGAAAGGTAACTCCAAACACATTTTCGCTAAGAGCAGTTGTTTAGCTGGTTAAACAAAGGTTAGCCATGTGTTGGCAAAAATGAATGCCCAAGACAAGAAAGCTTACCAGCAGTCAGTGGCACTTGCCACAATGGTAACCTATTCGCGGGTGCTTTTTCAAAGCCTATGTCAGATACTCCAATGAGTGTATGGCTCCGATGAGTGTAATTTGCTCAATATTAGGAGTTGAAGAATAATGTTGACATCATTAGAAATGTGATATTCTCATCTGTTCTACTTTTTGTATGTAATTTAAAATGTATTTATTCTGTTGTTGCTAGCGATATTCATAAAAACATTGGGGGGAAAAATCCACTTAATTTAAAAATATATATTTCCACGGACCCCCTGCAATACCTCGGATCCCCGGTTTAATACTCCTGCCATAGGAGACCACGTTCAGTGGCACTTTACCGTCCCGGCGGCTGCTGTCACAGTCATGGCGAGGGAGGCTGCTGGGGGGAGGATGATGCAACCCCCGGCGTCATCCGCCACCCGCTGCCTGCCGCTACCGCCCCCGCCAAGCGTAGCTGTCATCTCAGGTGGCGAGTCACCCACCCTGCTTCCTGTTCACTCATTCCTCTAACAGACTCCCTCGCCGTTATTTGCAAATCACTTGCAAAGTGCTGTGCTCAGCACATCCCCCCTCCTCTCAGTGGTATTACAAGCACATAATTGAAACTATCTGATTGGAACGCTGCCAAGCAGGTAGATTACATCCGATTAAGTGGGGGGGATACCGAGTCGTCGCTCACAATAATTATAATGCCTTCCTTTAATTCATCCCCCCCCCCCCCACCACCCAATCCTCCATTGTTTGTTTCCTCTTCTATAAAGAAACTGCAAACGCATCCCTTCTTCAGTCACCTGAAATAGCAGGGGGTGAGAGAGAGGTAGAGTAGAGCCCCTCCTCCTCCATCCCTCCCCTCCTCCCTCCCTCCCCCTGGCCTGCTATTCATTTAGATAACACAGACATTCCCTTTAACTGGGTCCTATATACACTCATCATCCAGGCCCTGAGAGCCATAGGCTGCTAGAATCTCTTGCGAATCGCAAAATCTCTCTAAGAGAGATCGTCTGAGTGAGTGTGCGTGCTCTTCCATGTGCTTGAATTGTATGTGTGTCTGCATATGTATAGCCCATGTGTCTGTGTTATCACAAGCTCCCAGAATCCACTTTGGATAGTCCTCATGCAGCTGACACAGACTTAGAGAAATCTGGAATTGAGTGCAGTCCAAACGACACTGCCTTAATTTGTTATCTGAATAAAAATAATGATTACTCATGAAATCCAAACCCAACCTCTGACTATTTGAATGGCGCTTGCTAGATAACGAGCTCTGCTTTTTTGAAACAGAACTTGCTGGCAGCCCTCTACTACAGTCCCTATTCTCTCTCTCTCTGAGGATTTGGAGAAAGTTTGGCTGCCTCTTTCTATCCTCAAGTCACCCTCTTTCATGTGAGTGTCGTTTGAACATGGGAGTCCCAGAGCAGGCCCCAGAGGTCTGAGTCTGGACAACAACACCTCCCTGGAGTAGAGCAGGACTGACTGGAAAGATGAGGACAGAGAAGAGAGGCGATCTCTCATTAAACACACACTGCCAACCCTCTGCCGGGAATTCACACAGAATCCATACATTTCATTCTCTTCTCTTCATGACTCTTTAAAAGTCTATACGTTTTCAGAGACAGGCAGAGTAAAGCACTGAGGAGTGGGAGCCCAGTGAGTGCTGATCTGCTCCCCAATCTGTGTTTCTGCAGGGTGTCCTAATCAAAGACACCCGCGCCCTTCTGTGGCACCCAAAGCAAACAGGCTGGGTCTGTCATTAAAGCAGGGGAGCGCAGCACGGAGCAGCAGTGGTGGTGGGGGGGGGGGGGGGCACAGCGGTGGGGAGCGCTCCCCTACACCAGCCGCCCCAGGGATTAGCCAGCCACTCTGTTTACAGCCCTATAATCTGATCCCTCTCTCCTCACTGGCAGGGAGAGATGGAGAGAGAAGGAGAGAGAGAGGGGTAGAGAGAAAGAGAGAGTGGGGAAAAGAAGGGGAGGGAAAGGGAGAGGAAGAAAGATAGTGAGAGAGAGGAAGGGAGCCGTGAAGGAAAGCAGGGCCGCCTCTCATCTCTCCATGGCCACGTCACTTGGCTTTCTTCACAGCGGGCGGACAGATGAAATGAAATCAAATATAAAATGGCGAGAGCACGGAAGGCGGAGGAGTGAGTGGTGTGGGGGAATGAGAGGCAGTGATACGGCAGGGTTCTGAGCAGGGGAGTGGAACCTCCTGCAAAGTCTCTCCTTACTCACTGAACACACTCCAGTGTATCTGCGTAGCTGCCATTAAGAGTCAGCCATGACGACGGAGTCACACACATCTTCAAATCAAACATGATTTCATTACAGAGCAATGCCACAGTTATAAACATGGCCTTGCTGTATCTGTACCTGGACATCACAGCTGCTTTTTCCACCCATTATCCATGGTGCTTCAGTGTTTCTATGGCTAGGAAAATTGAGTTGTTAATGATCTTTTTTATGGGTGACTTGAATCCCTCAGGGGGGCAGCCTTGACCCCCAGCTGACCTATCCCAGCGAGTGTTTTCATGTGAGAGGAAGAGAGGAAGAGAGGGAGGAAAGGAAGAAAGGCTGGACTGAAGTCAGATTTTCTATTTTTATCAGGAGTTAGAGAGAGGGAGAACAGACTTCCGCTAAACCCTCCTCTCTGATCCTCGACCACCTCTAGAAAGGGTGAATCCCAGGTTATGGCATATTTTATATATGAAATATATTATGTATACTTTCACTTCATTTAAACCACATGTCAAAGCCTACCTAGTGGGCTCACATTGCTATAGTGTTTGCTCTGTCCTATTTGTCCAAAGTATAGGCTGCTGAATATGCTGATCTCAACATATTGAACTATGACAAAAACTAGCTGTCATATGTAGAATTTTATATATTTAACTATGGAAAGTATCTGTGTAATATTCGGTATTTGACATATCAAATTCTGAAAAAATACCACGTACTTCAAGATGTTTTAACTACATGGAAAAATTGCGATGTAATATGCTGAATTCAACATATTTTACTGTGGAGAAATAGCGGTGTAGTATGCTGAATTTGACATATCTTACTATGGAATAATAGCTGTATGCTGAATTCCCCATATTTAACTCTGAGAAAGTGTCTGTGGATAACCCTGGCTTAGCGGATGCTCCTCAGGAGGCAGTGCAATATGTTGAGGGACATTCTCAGAGGTTTATATACATTTACAGCTAATTAGCTAATTTGACCAATTAGGCAGGGCTTTTTGGCTGGCCTAGCCCAGGCCCCTGCAGGCATAGAGTGCATCTTTCCCTCCTATCCTTTCCACTAACTCCAAAACCAAATGGATCAGGAGGAGGGCTTGTACCCCTTTCACAGAGACTAAATGATTAATGTGTACAGAATGTTGAATCTCATTGGTGGAAATAAATAAAACACCTCAGGTTTCCACGTTTTCCAGAGAGCTTCTCAAAAATGCACTTTCATTTCGCCACAGCGTTTACAATTAAGTTCAATCAACTCCAACTCACGCAGAATCAGCTCCACGCTTTGACATCTTTATGTATTTTCTGACATCAAAGTCTACTCCTGCACCATTGAACACTCTGGGTAGTTGTGTAACGTTAACGTTAACGTTACCTAACCTAACGAGCCGTTGCACAACCTTATGACCGTAAAATGTAATATTCCATCACTTGCGGTCTTCCTGCTTCCAAGCCTTTATTAACAATCCTACTGTTAATTGTCTTAAGGCGAAGGTTCCTTAAACACCTCCGGTCATCAACCTAATTTAAGATAATGCCAGGTGTGTATTGTGTTGTTGAGCGGTACTGACCGGTACAGTCGTGTTGGCGGTGATGGCGGGCGTGTTGTTGTCGGTGCCGGGCGGCTCACTGTGCGTCTGTGTGGGGGTGTAGAGGGTCATGGTGTGCTCGGGCACCCTGCTCTGCCCAGTGTAGTCCTGTGTGGGGAGGGGGTGGGGCGCTGCAAACTCGGCCGGGATGCCATTCTGTGGAGGAGGCGGGTACTGGGCAGGGGTGTACGGCTGGGCCATGGCTTCTGGGGGGTTGGTGGCCTCTTGGTTACCCTGTTAAGACAAAGAGGAGAAGACAGAGTTACATTAATTGTTCCACATCACTCGTGATTAAAGTTACATTGTTAGAACAGCGGAGTACGTTGTTAGTAGTACTAGAGAACAACGCAGCATGAAAGCCATGCTGGTTTCCCCAGTGCTTTGGAAGTAGCTGGGGAGATGAAGAGTTGTCCTGCAAACTAAGTATCTCAGGGAAATATCTATTATATCATATTTCCCCCCCAGATTAGAGGATTCCTTGATCATTATTAATTAACATAGTTTATGGTGTAGAGCATGGTTCTCTGGTGGTGGGGCAGGAGCGAGGGGGAAACTAAATTGCACTCATGGCAAAGCGCAAGAGGAAAGATCAATTAATTGATACAATTTTGATTAGAGCCTTTGATTCAAATGACAGGTCGGTTATAGGAGCAGCCAATTCCTTTCTGTGTTCCACTTTTCTTCTTTGAACATCTACTACCTGCATCTTACTTGATATATCTGTCCTGTCCTTGGCTCTTCTTTCTCAGCCCCTCCCTCACTCATATCCCTCTCTCATTCTGTCCTACTTGTCTTGTTCTGTCTCTGTGCTCCTAAGTGACTTAAGTGATAGATGGTTGGTAGAGACGTGGCAGGCACTTTGCAAACCCCTTCTCTCATGCTGGTGCACATTGTTAAGCAGAGCAATGATAGGACTACAGGAGAGCATGTCTTATTGTTCCACTACATTGAGCCCTGCTGGAACAGATACCAGATCTTTACATTAAAAAACCCACAATTGTGTTTTAAAAAAGGTGAGACAATAACGCCAGAATCCAATAACACATTCCCACCAAATATCCTCAATCAAATTTGAAGATACAGATCACACGAGCTGAACGCATAACTCCTCCGATAAGAGAAGACAAAGAGGCTTATGGGTAAGGGGAAAAACAATAACAGTAAACAGATAGAGAAGTTTCTGTCTCTTCCTTTACAAGCCTTAACTGGCTAGGGATGGAGAGAGGAGAGATAAATGCTTTTTATTCCTTTTTTCTCACTTGTGTGCATTGCTGTTTGGCCTCCATGTTGCAGGCAGGCTTCCACAGACAGCCGTAACTAGTTGGGCTGGAGGAGAGGAGAGGAGGCCTGTGCTTTAATGAGGGATTGGAGCCGTGCAGCACAGCGCTGTAAATGTTTTGGAAAAAATGCTACACTGATGTGTTGCCAAACAAACCACAGTCCAAACCACTTGGCCAATTAAGGAAATGCCTCCATTATCTAAATGAAAAAAGAGAGGCCCTTCAGCCTTGAGAGATGAGGAGGATTGACCAGCTTCCAGAGAGGCCACAGTCTCAAGGCCTGCGCCCTTAACTCCTCCCTGACCTCACCTACCCTGCCTACCTCCATCTCTCTCTCTTTACCTCCCCTCTCGTTCCCCCCGTCTCTTTCTTCCCTCTCTCTTCGTGCTGAAACTTTTTAAATATCTCCCCCTGTGCTCTACTTCTCCTCTCCCTCTAGTCATGGTGTTATATAACCCACTTGCATTGCAGGGCATCCTTATTCAAGGCGACTCTTGATGTCGGCAATTTTTAAACTTTTAAGCACCCATTTCAAGGAAGGGGGGTGGTTAGCTACCTAAAAAACGGAAGCTTCTCATGGCACAGCAGCAGCTGAGACCTTTCACATAGTGGTCTAACATCAACAAATCAATTTGGAGAGAAAGCTTGAGTCCAGATGACAATAAGGCATGTATGAGAAACAGTTTTCACACCATAAGGGAGATCAAAGCTGCATTAAAGCATTCTGTTAGACATGGCGAGGCACAGAGCACCAGTGTATTTGTGTCACGCCTATTGTTCTTGAAGCATAAAACAAGGGCATGGGACTGAAACGAGCCATGTGACACACAACACTGGGTAACAACCTGGAGCTGGGAGGGAGAGCGAGAGAGAGAGAGAGCGAGAGAGAGAGAGCGAGAGAGAGAGAGCGAGAGAGAGAGAGAGAGAGAGAGAGAGAGAGACAGCAACCAAAGTGTTGTACTGCACTATACAGCACCACAGCACTGTTTCAAAGGGCAGCAAACCAAAAGCAAGGAGTGGGGGGCTATGAGGGGTGAGTAGAGAACGGGGCTCATTAGTGAAACACAAAGTAACACTGGCTCTCGTATGATCTTCCCCTTCTCTCTGATGTATGTGACAAACAAGTTATTCAACTAGAAATGAACTCGGAGAGAAAAAAGGGCCCATGCAAATCAGCAGGAGTAGCGTTGGTCCCTCTGCGACCACACGCCCTTTTAGCTGGTGCTGGCTTAGCATCATCATGATAATCCACAGTGCCTGATGAAAACCCCAACACCATATAAACCATAAAGCTCTCAGGCGCAGGTCGCAGTTCCCATCTCTCCCATCTCTCATGGCTCTGAGGGGGAGACGTTAAGTTATGGCTGGAGAAAAACTGTTCCTGGTCGTTTGTGTGGTGTTATCAGGCCCCGGGCGGCAGGCAGCATTCGTCCACCTTCAGGCGTGTTAACGATGGGCGAGCAGGTCCCTCCGTTGTAATTCAGCGCCCCCGCACAAGGCCAGGTGGTGGGAGTTAGCTAAACCCCTCCTCCATCGACAGGACCAAGGGGAATACAGGAATCCAGACAAAACGGCCAGCCTGTATCGATCTCCTATCTCTCTCTCGCTCATGCTATCTCTTACTCCCACCTCTCTCTCTCTCCATCTCTCTCTCCTTTACCGCTCCACCCCTATTACAGAAGAGCACAATAAAAAACACTCTCTTTAATCTTAAGCACTCTCCCAGTGTAAAATTGGATTGAAACCCTTACTTAAGGAAATCACTTTTGGTAGCAGAGTTTTTGTTTTTACAGTCAGCATTAGGCAGCACTGTCTAAGGTGCACGGGGCGAGGAGGTTGGGCAGGCCCAAATGGCTTGGACTTCCAGACCTGATCGTCTAGAGAGAAACACAGGGCAATAGACAGGTGGAGAGAGATACTACTGTAACTGCTAACTGGTGTTAGCTCCTTTGATGATGGAAGCTCCATTCTATCTCCATGGATACCATGGGTAGAGCTCTTGGCCAGTGGCCAACAATCTCTGATCCTCTTCAGCAAAGCTGCTGGGGACTTGCTCTCTGAGTCGGCCAGGCAGAGATGGGCTGATCACATACAGTAGCTGGGGAGAACTCATATCAGCAGAGTGGTGTCAGTTCCTGTACTGTGAATGGGAGGTCAGAGGGCAAAGCTAAGGCTAAAGACAGTAGGCGACTAATTGTGTTGCATTGAATCCAGGGGGAAATCACTCAAATGGGAGCCACTGATGATATCAGCTATGGACGTGTGATTGAGTGGGCAGCTTTATGGCTTTTACTCAGACACACCGAGTCAGCCGCTCGGACTCAATTGTTAGGGACTGGAAGACCTTAAAAGGTCTCTACCACACAGGTTAATCTGTCACCAGATCCAACATTAGACCTGTTACAATGTTAGATGATCCATTTGAGATGTTGAGCTACAAGAATACCAGGTGAATATCGAGAAAATTTTCATTTCTGGGTAATTCAGCACATATTTGTGTTCTGTAGCCTAAATTAGTTACTGAACTAGCATGTTGACAGGAACCCTTTAAAATGTTTCAAGTTTTCAAGAACTTATCCAGTGCAGTGAGTCCAAAGGAGGAGAGTGTGGAGTGTTTTCTAGCGACAGCACAGCTCCAAGACATAGAGAAGAGAAGCACTCATCTCACTTTAATGACTGCCTCACTGAGAGGAAGGCCAACTTGTGACAAATCCCATTGGGCCATTGCAGCAGAAAACAGAGTGGGGACAAACGGAGAGTGTCACGTAGCTCAACAGTGGGCCAACTTAGAGCATGCAACACAAACAAAACACAGCAAGGACTTTCAGCCAGCCAGGCGCATAAAATACCCTTGTTGTTTTCAACCCCGCTACTGACACCCAGCTAATTGAACTCCAACAAACAGACAGGCAGAAAAGGCAGGCAGGCCAGTGAGGCAGGCCTGGGATGATTTTGAACATCCAGCAACTGGCATTAGTTTTGTCTTAACAGGCACACATAAATAAAGCTTGAGTCTAGCTAGGTCCATTTTAATTTGGCAAAGCCATATTATCGTGCTCCAACACTCCGTTAGAGTTAGCAGTGTTAGCAGCGCTAGCATCTCACCAGAGGCTGCAGCCAGCCAGGGAGAGCCTGTTAATTACAACCACCTGCCATCCATTCAAGGTCAGTCAGAAAAGCCCAACTCAGAGGCAGAGGTAAACAACAACAACAAACAAATCCTCCAGTTGGGTTTCTCGTGATGAAGCAGATTTCCGGGCGCACCGGCTGGCTTTTCCCCCTCATTGTCTGCCAATTACAGCGAAACTTTGTGAGAGAGAGAGGGGAGAGAGCATGGAGAGGTGGAGATGCAGCGGCCCAATTTAATGCAGATTTGAAGCACCTGAGAAAAGCCTTTGCATCCCCCTAGCTACCCCCAGTGTTCTTCCACACCACTCTTCAGCAGGTTTGGGAATCCAAATAGGCTAGGCACGGCATTATTATTTCCCTTCATATTTCCTCTCTTGCCAACTCTCATCTCTATGGAGATAAATACTGCATCTACACTCGGCCCCCTGGAGTGAATTGAGATTTTTTGCACACCGTGTTTTTTTTCTTCAAGAGCCTTAATCGTTTTCACATGTCACTTATGTTTCAATCCCTCTAACATGATTTTTCCTAATTATTGGGAGCACTTATTTGTGATTCATGCCGTGTTCACATGCTAGTCGGAACTAGGAAACTCAGAAATGTCCAACTTACTAACTGGTTGAACGCAGCACATGTATAACTTGCAACCAGTTAGCAAGTCAGAAATGTCAGAGTTTCCTAGTTCCAACTAGCACGTGAACGCGGCTTCACCCTCGGACAGGGTATTAAAGGGAGAGTTAATTTCCCTCTATCCCTTGTTGATTTCTTTATTACATTGCTGCTGCACCGCACAACACCACACTCCGAGTCTCAGCCTGTGCCGATCGAGATGGGACTGCTCTTAGCTTCTGCTGTGCTGCGACTAGCAAGTGTTACTATACCTCAGAGACGACTGGAGCGCCACTTAATAAACAGAGCAGACAGAGGATCACTTTGAACTCCTGTGACATGTAATGAACCTGTCTGTCTCCTCCTCACCCACCCACCCACCCGCCCGCCGTAGCAGCCATGCATGGATCTGATCTGTCTGGGGCTGGAGAACGGCGCATTAAAAAGCTCCTAATAAACCAACAGGCTCTTTAAAAACAACTATAATTTACAGATGATCAGACACGCCATGCTTTCCCCACACCATAAAAGCAGATAATTGCCTTTTTCAATGTTGTTGCCTTTTTGTTGTGTAACAGGATATTTACATCAGGGACTAATTATTCCAGACTTGTTGTCGGAATTTAAATAGACATGTGGGCTGTGTGTCGTTTTTTAAATCAACTAAGCCCGCAGGCGTTGCTTTTAACCTGATCAAATGTACTACAATAAATCTCAGTCCGATACACGATAGTCTTTTCCCCCTCTCAATCGTCCTTCTCATGTATCAAATTACATGAACAGATTGATATTGGTATACTTTTATTACACATGTTCTAAATTGATAAGACTCTTCAATTTCTAGAAATTGCCATTGATCACGGAGATAAAGAACCTATCTGAAATGAAAATTGATGATTGAGCAGTTGATCAGGCACATTATTTTGATTCTGGTCATACACATGTGAATCAATTCTCGTACCGTGTCGATCCACTGATCTACACTAGATCTAATTTAGCCGGCAAATTAGTATTTTTCTACTGTAATTCAACACTGATGAAGTGACACCAACATTTGGTTAGGAAGCAGCTGAGTGTCATTGTGATGTGGTCTCTCTTTGAGGGTTATGATAAGAGGCCAGAGTGCCTCATAAGGGACAAATGCCAGCGCTTAAACATGCAGGAATCTCAACATGACATTCGTTGACCGCTGTGACAATGGCAAAACATATGCAAATGAGACAGTGTCACTCTCATTATGACCCTGTCACTGAGACACTGACACCTCCTACTGTAGAGAGAGATAGAGAGAGAGAGGGGGGAGAGCAAACACAGAAATAGAAAGATCCTAATACCGGGAAGCAAACAGGTAAAATGCACCATTTACACTGTCTAACTCTTTTCTTCCTTTACTCAGATCTGTTCTTCCTCCCTTTGTAATCCTTCTCTTTGGTTTCCCTTTGCCTCGGTGGGTTTCTCTTTGCTCTGTGGACGGAGGGCATGGGGAGGGGAGGGACAGATTTACATGGGCCATATTCTTTGAAGTGAACATGCCTACTGCTCTCCGCTGTAGCCCAAGCTCATCTAATCAGCAGCTAATTCCAGTTATTAAGATTTGAGAGATAACTTTGATTCATCACAGTCCATCTACCCCAATCGGTTAATCACTGTCGTGCTAAGCTCTTTTTTAGTCCTCCTTTTGTTTCCAGCCCCTCTGGCACTCGGTGATGGGAGAAAAGGAGAGGAGATATTAACAATATTAATGACCCGTGATCCTCGTCTCCTTAATGAGAAGGGTTATTAACTGTGATTATCTGTGATGAAATGGTGGTGATTCTTGAAAGCTTGGGAAAACTTGTACTATCGCTTGTCTGCTGATTTGCTCGTCTGATGTTGAAAAAGGGAAGAGGTGAGCGTGGTGCAGAGTTAGTGTGATGCAGTGGGGAGGAGAGGAGCGAGGGAAGGAGAGAACGGAGATGGAGACGCAGAGGAGGCTGGAAGGGATTTTAAGAGGGGTTCAAATCAGGGAACCGAGGATGGTCCTATTACAGACACATCTAAGACGCTCAAATCGGAGAGCTCTTCCACTCCAGATACATATGTATTTCACTGTTTAATAGGCCGCAGACAGAGACAGCTTTTCCAACTAAGGAAATGTGTCTGCTGAAAACTCTGTCACGTCTTTTGTCCCAAATTCTCTCCCCTCTTCGGGGCTAACTAGTGGGTGCACTCCCCAGACACACGTCTGCAGGTTGACATTGCTGAATGGCTGTTTAAATGCCTATACCGCTCTGCCAGATCCCTGATACAGCATTCCAGATTTTTCTCTTTCCAATTATAGGGAAGTAGTGGAGGGAGCTGGTGAAGAGAAGGAGTCTCTGTCAGCTCCATATGATTCCCTCTAAAGGGGGGAGGGAACCAGGGTGTCTACTAAATCATTGATGTGCAGTAAGACTGTTTCATTGTAGATGGGTTAGCAGCAGACAGCTAACAATGCTGAATTATTCATCCCTGTCCCGTGAAGAGAAGACCAAGACTAGGATAAGGCTCTGCTGCTCCTCCTCTCACTCCCCCCTCCCCTGGGACAGATTGGGGGAGAGAGACATGGAGGAGGAAGAGGAGAGACCACTGCACGGCGTGCTGCTACCTGACCACTTTAGACACCTCTCTTTAGCTCGGCTAACTCCTGCATGGAGCTGTGGCTGCTGCTGGTGCTTCAGTCTCCTTTCCACTCACAGTGTCAAGCTACAACTACACTGATAACCACAGAGGATTCTCATGTTAAACAGAGAAAAAACTCCCCCATTCGTAATGGATAGCTTCAATGGTTACAGAAGTAGTTAGAGTAATAATGCTATTTAAAACAGACAAGGGGACTGTCGGCTGTCCTCATCTATTGGGTGTTGTTTAAAGGTGTTGTTTTAAAGTTACAAACACTCCTAAAGTGATCCATCCCTAAAAGGCTGGCAAAGGTGAATTACAATCACCATCTAAAACCTGGCAGTGTATGGCCGAAACACCTGATGGGGCCATTTTAGATAATAATCCTGTTTAGAGAGCCCAGTACACCTTTCAGAGAGGGGAGATTGGATTGTTTGCATTAGTGACCTGTGGAGGAAGTAGAGGCAGTGTGGGGAAATGCAATAGCCCAATAGCCCCTAGCCTTTATTAGATTCAATTCAGTCTTTCATAAACAATACCTTACTTTTCAAAAAGAAGGAAAAAATCGACTTAGTGTGGGTAACCCAGCACTTCCCGGACACACTCCATTTATTTTCCCCAATTAAATCTCTTTAATTGGATTGAGGGCTGGCACCTGGTTTACACTCTGTCAACCACGCAATCCACAGTAATTGATGCTGGAGCAGAGCCGTGGCGCGGTGCATTGTGTGTGTGGGAGGGAGGGAGGCCGACCGATGGGGGAGGGATTTAGAACATGTCTCAATACTCCACAATTTCACTGTGATCAATTTATCAATGGCTTTTCTCCCCTCTCCTCCTCGAAAAAAAGCCCACACCACCGCTAAGATGGGAAATGCCTTCACACACGCCCACGCACACACACACATACACACACACGTATGCATTCACACAAATGCATTGCACGCGCACATTCACACCCATACTGTGCATGTACACACACCCACACATTAACCCTCACACACATGCTAATAAAGTACATTAACTCTCACACACATGCTAATAAAGTACATTAACCCTCACACACATGCTAATAAAGTACATTAACCCTCACACACATGCTAATAAAGAACATTAACATTAACATACAGTACATGCACACCTACACAAACTCAGATCTGCCCTGAATACAAATGCACACGCCCAAACATCGTACAGAGATACAAATCGGAGAAATGCATCCAGTTCAGTGACAGCACCTTAAAGACACTCTGAAACTCTCCGTCCCTGAATTATAACTCTACAACTATATGGATTCCAGGGAGAAAGAGAGAGAGGGAGAGGAAGAGAGAGAACGGGAGAGAGAGGAAGAGAGGGGGAGTGAAAGTGAGAGAGAGAGAGAGAGAGAGAGAGAGAGAGAGAGAGAGAGAGAGAGAGAGAGAGAGAGAGAGATAAAGAGGTAGAGAGAAGAGCCACCACAGTAAATAAAAACACAATTTCCTCCAGTGACATGCCCATTCTGTTGGAGGCCTGACTCTAATTATTCTAAGCACTTTGAAGGATGGCTTTCCACTGCATTAATCTACATATCCCACTCCCCCATCCACAGTCCATGCACTCCTAACTACCCAACGACGCCCCGCAAGTCTTCCTAAAACCAGGAGATATGAGATTGACTTTGATCAGTCAGGTGAGGGGAAAACGTCCTTTAGCATGTATTTTGTCTTTCCTGTGATTTCAGTCTATAACACTTCTTGTATGTTTCAGTTGAAAATGGACTCCAAAAACAACTCCACACAACATCCTAATGAAAACAGCAGCAGTACCCAAAATAAATCAGTGTTGTCTCATTATGTAAAGCCAGAGCTAGAAGGAGAATGTGGTTTGTTTTCCTCTGGGCTCACCTCTCTCTCGCAGCTCATTTGGAAGCGAAATCAATCGATAAATCACCCGAGACCAATCACTCAATCAATGAACCTATCAATATTCACCAGATCAGACCCCTCCCCTGCGAGAGGCCATCTTCAGTAAGAATATGTCAGGCAAATGGGCTTTTAACATAATAGCTCTGTCCGCTCCTGCTGAGTGCAAGATTGATGTGATGCAACGTATACATGTTGACACAAGCTGTAATGGTGATACACAGCTGGCCCCATGTTTCTCAGTAACAGAACCAGGGCACACATCTGATAAAAAAGCCCATTACGGTAAAAAAGTGGAACAGCTTAGATTCTTGATACGATAAGTGTATATTTGTCCAAATTACACCCAGACAGATCAAAACTCTATTTCAAACAACATTGCTCACTGATTAAGGCTGAATTTTTGTTTTGATACATTTAAAACTTATCGACTTTATAAAGAAGTGCCCTCCGGTGCCTTAAAAAAAGTTTGATAAGGAGCAGGGGAGAGAATGCAATCTCTCTTCATCAATTAGTGCAGTGTTCTGGCAGAGTGGTTAGCAGAGCAGAGCAGCGACGCCTCCAGCATATCCCTCCCTCATCCGCTGTGGGGCATCATGGGTAATGCGGCCACAGGAGGAAGAGAGAGCCTCTCCATAAAAGGTGAATTGTGGGACATTCTCATTCCAGTAAGTGATGAGGCAGCCTATAGGGAGGAGGTCAGAGACCTGGCAGTGTGGTGCCAGGACAACAACATCTCCCTCCAACGTCAGCAAGACAAAGGAGCTGATCGTGGACCACAGGAAATGGAGGGGCGAGCACGCCCCCATCCACATCGTTGGGGCTGTAGTGGAGCGGGTCGAGAGCTTCAAGTTCCTCGGTGTCCACATCACTAAGGAATTAACATGGTCCACACACACCCACACAGTTGTGAAGAGGGCACGACAGCGCCTCTTCCCCATCAGGAGGCTGAAAAGATTTGGCAAGGGCCCTCAGATCCTCCAATGCTTTAAGAGCATATTGACTGGCTACATCACCGCTTGGTACGGCAACTGCAAGGCACCAGACAGCAAGACGCTACAGAGGGTGGTGTGTACGGCCCAGTACATCACTGGGGCCGAGCTCCCTGCCATCCAGGACCTCTATACCAGGCGGTGTCAGAGGACGGCCCAAATAATTGTCAAAGACTCCAGCCACCCAAGCCATAGACTGTTCTCTCTGCTACCGTATGGCAAGCGGTACCAGTGCACCAAGTCCCTGAACAGCTTCTACCCCCAAGCCATAAGACTGCTAAACAAGACCACTAAATAGCTAATCAAATGGCTACCAGTACTACCTGCATTGACCCTTTTTTGCATTAAATATCTTGCACTGACTCTATCCACACACTCACACATTCTTACACTTACACCCCAACACACATATACACACATATACACACACACTCACACAAAACATGCGCACACACACACACAAAACATACGCACACATGCATACTGAAGCCACACACACACTCACCACTGCTCCTGTCTATTATCTATCCTGTTGCCCAGTCACTTTACTCCTATATACAGTGCCTTCAGAAAGTGATCACAACCCTTGACTTTTTCCACATTTTGTTGTGTTACAGCAGCGTTTCCCAAGGGGTACACTACACAGCTGAGTCAAATGATCAAAGCTTGATGATTAGTTGATTACTTGAATCAGCTGTGTAGTGCTTGGGCAAAAAACTAAACATGCACCCCTTGGGATTCCGAGGACCGAGGGATACCCTGTGTTACAATTTAGATTTTGTGTAACTGATCTACACACAATATCCCATAATCTCAAAGTTGAATTATGTTTTCAGAATTTTTTTTACAAATTAAATTTTTAGTTTTTAACATGATTTTTGAATGACTACGTCATCTTTGTACCCCACATATACAATTATCTGTAAGGTCCCCCAGTCGAGCAATGAATTTCAAACACAGATTCAACCACAAAGACCAGGGAGGCTTTCAAATGCCTTGAAAAAAAGAGCATATATTGTACAATCCAGGTGTGCAAAGCTCTTAGAGACTTACCCAGAAAGACTCACAGCTGTAATCACTGCAAAATGTAATTCTAACATGTATTGACTCAGGCATGTGAATATTTCTGTAAATTAGATATTTCTGTAATTAATTTTCAATAAATGTGCAAACATGTCAAAAAACATTATGGGGTATTGTGTGTAGATGGGTGAGATTTTTTTTTATTGTATCCATTTTGAATTCAGGCTTAAACACAACAAAATGTGGAATAAGTCAAGGGGTATTAATACTTTCTGAAGGCACTGTATATTTACATAGCTACCTCAATTATCTCGTACCCCTGTACATCAACTCGGTAATGGTGCTCCCAGTATATACAGTGGCTTGCGAAAGTATTCACCCCCCTTGGCATTTTTGATTTTTGGGGGGTTTGCATCATTTGATTTACACAACCTGCCTACCACTTTGAAGATGCAAAATATTTTGTCTTGTGAAACAAACAAGAAATAAGACAAAAAAAAACAGAAAACTTGAGCGTGCATAACTATTCACCCCCCCAAAGTCAATACTTTGTAGAGCCACCTTTTGCAGCAATTACAGCTGCAAGTCTCTTGGGGTATGTCTCTATAAGCTTGGCACATCTAGCCACTGGGATTTTTGCCCATTCTTCAAGGCAAAACTGATCCAGCTCCTTCAAGTTGGATGGGTTCCGCTGGTGTACAGCAATCTTTAAGTCATACATACCACAGATTCTCAATTGGATTGAGGTCTAGGCCATTCCAAGACATTTAAATGTTTCCCCTTAAACCACTCAAGTGTTGCTTTAGCAGTATGCTTAGGGTCATTGTCCTGCTGGAAGGTGAACCTCCGTCCCAGTCTGAAATCTCTGTAAGACTGAAACAGGTTTCCCTCAAGAATTTCCCTGTATTTAGCGCCATCCATCATTCCTTCAATTCTGACCAGTTTCCCTGTCCCTGCCGATGAAAAACATCCCCACAGCATGATGCTGCCACCACCATGCTTCACTGTGGGGATGGTGTTCTCAGGGTGATGAGGGGTGTTGGGTTTGTGCCAGACATATGCACACACCACTTTTCCATTATTAATTTTTTACACTTTTTGAAACAAGTTATTTTTTTCATTTCACTTCACCAATTTTGACTATTTTGTGTATGTCCATTACATGAAATCCAAATAAAAATCAATTTGGCCCCGTGTAGCTCAGTTGGTAGAGCATGGCGCTTGCAACGCCAGGGTTGTGGGTTCGATTCCCACGGGGGGCCAGTATGAAAAAAAAAATGTATGCACTCGCTCTGGATAAGAGCGTCTGCTAAATGACTAAAATTTAAATTTAAATTACAGGTTGTAATGCAACAAAATAGGAAAAACGCCAAGGGGGATGAATACTTTTGCAAGGCACTGTAGCCATATTGTTTTTACTCGTTATTGTTATTTGTTATTCACTGTGTATTCATTCCTCGTCTCACTATTTCAATTTGTAAAAAAAAAAAAAGTTTATTTATATTTAACTCTGCATTGTTGGAAAAGGACCCGTAAGTAAGCATTTCATTGTTAGTCTACACCTGTTGTTTATGAAGCATGTGACAAATACAATTTGATTTGATTTGATTTTGATTTTATGTTGCAGACATTGACACTGGCATGGTTAACCATACCATTTAGTATAAACACCTTCTCCTCAATACCATACCATTACGGCAAGGAGTGACAATTCAACACCAAGACCAATAACAACTATCACAACCTACATTTAATTTCTCCACATTTTTGATAAGATGAGATTTTGCCTGATGTTCTCCCTTTAATGTAAAGATACTAGTCTGGATCTCTTAGAGCCATCCTCACACAGATCACACTGCTCTCTTCCGACCGTGCTTTGAGAATAGTTTTTTCAGACGGAGTGGGGGAGGACGCCACAGCACAGACACAGTCCCCTCTCTTCCTTTGGGGATCCAGAGCGTTGTCTGCTCTTATCAGCACGGCATGGCCCAGGGCTGATTGGCACAGGGCTGATTGGCACAGACCTGAGGAGGCACATGGAGGAGGCTCACTCTCCTTCCCTGGAGGAAACACTACCTAATACCCTCCCAGCAAACAACTTAGTGGACCAGCACACACACTAACACACACTGTGTGTGTGTACAGTGCCTTCAGAAAGTATTCACACCCCTTGACTTTATTCACATTTTGTTGTGTTACAGCCTGAATTGAAAATGTATTACATTTAGATTTTTTGTCACTGGCCACCATACAATACCCCATAATGTCAAAGTGGAATTATGCTTTTCGAAATTGTTACAAATTAATTAAAAATGTAAAGCTGAAATGTCTTTAGTCAATAAGTATTCAACCCCTTTGTTATGGCAAGACTAAGTTCAGGAGTATAACTTTGCTTAACAAGTCACATAATACGTTGCATGGACTCACTCTGTGTGCAATAATAGTGTTTAACATGATTTTTGGATGACTATCTGTACCCCACACATACAATTACAGTATCTGTAAGGTCCCTCAATCGAGTAGTGAATTTCAAACACAGATTAATCCACAAAGACCAGGGTGGTTTTCCAATGCCTCACAAAGAAGGGCACCGATTGGTAGATGGGTAAAAAAAAGCAGACATTGAATATCCCTTTGAGCATGGTGAAGTTATTAATTACATTTTGGAGGGTGTATCAATACACCCAGTCACTACAAAGATACAGGCGTCCTTCCTAACTCAGTTGCCGGAGAGGAAGGAAACCGCTCAGGGATTTCACCATGAGGCCAATGGTGACTTTAAAACAGTTACAGAGTTTAATGGTTGTGATAGGAGAAAACTGAGGATGGATCAACAACATTGTAGTTACTCTACAATAATAACCTAATTGACAGAGTGAAAAGAAGGAAGCCTGTACAGAATAAAAATATTCCACAACATGCATCCTATTTATAACAAGGCACTAAAGTAATACTGCAAAATGTGGCAAAGCAATTCACTTTTTGTCCTGAATACAAACTGTTCCGTTTGGGGCAAATCCAATACAACACATTACTGAGTACCTCTCTCCATATTTTCTAGCATAGCGGTGGCTGCATCATGTTATGGGTTTGCTTGTAATCATTAAGGACTGGGGAGTTTTTCAGGATAAAAAAAGAAATGGAATGGAGCTAAGCATAAGGAAAATCCTAGAGGAAAACCTGGTTCAGTCTGCTTTCCAGCAGACACTGGGAGATGAATTGACCTTTCAGCAGGACAATAACTTAAAACACAAGGCCAAAAATCTACACTGGAGTTGCTTACCAAGAAGACAGTGAATGTTCCTGAGTGGCCGAGTTACAGTTTTGACTTAAATCTACTTGAAAAGCTATGGCAAGACCTTAAAATTGTTGTCTAGCAATGATCAACAGCCAATTTGACAGAGCTTGAAGAATTTTGAAAAGAATAATGGGCAAATTTTGCACAATCCACGCGTGGAAAGCTCTTAGAGACTTACCCAGAAAGACTCACAGCTGTAATCACTGCCAAAGATGCTTCTACAAGGTATTGACACAGGGGTGTGTATTTAATTGTAAGTTTCAATATACTTGCTAAAATGTCTAAAAACATGTTTTCACTTTGTCATTAAGGGGTATTGTGTGTAGATGGGTGAGAAAAAAATAATATTTAATCAATTTTGAATTCAGGCTGTAACAACACAAAATGTGGAATACATCAAGGGGTATGAATACTTTCTGAAGGCACTGGATGTGTATGTGGGTGTGTGTGTGTGTGGGGGGGGTTTGTGTATGTGAGTGTGTGAGTGTGTTTGTGTGTGTGTTGCGGGGACTGCTCTGAGACCTATCACAGGGTGAGAGAGAGAGTGATGCTGGGAAATGAGTGTAGCTGCGGTGGGGTGAGGCCGAGGGTCAGCGTTCTACCCGCCTGCAGACACCAGCCACAGGGGCTATCCATTACTCCCTGCTAATTGGAGTTTCCCTCCGGGTCAGCCGAGTTCACTGTAGTCCCTCCGCCGTGGAGGGCCCCATATTATTTCTAACACTATGTCATTCCTGATGTCCTTTTTACCCCCTCTCCTCTCCTCCTTTAAGAAGAAGGGGATTAGGGAAGGAGTGCTAGCCGATCTCCCTCCACCACCACCACAGCTGGTTAATAAGAAAAGTCTGTGTCTCCTCCCTGGACCATTCATCACGTCAGATGGTAATATCTTCAAAGGTCAGGCTGAGTCATAAAGAAAAAAGAGCCTTGGCTAAACTTTCCCGAGGATTTTTGGAGGGTCTAATCACCAATCACCAAATCTGAAGTGTCTCTTTTGATTGGCTTGTGATGGGTTTCTTTCAAAGTGATTGATTACCTTAAAAGGGATTACATTCTGCCTGGTCTGTACTGAAGACTTAGGTCTTAATGCAATGTTCCAAATAACAGAGGATTGCTGACTTTCAGGTGTAAGAAAAATACATGACAGAATGGTGGAAAATAAGAACAGAGCACAACATGGGAATAGATAGGGTACATCTACGACAGACTGCAAAAAACAACAATTTGCTGTTTACACCAACACAAGCGTTAACAAAAATGATAAAAAGAGGCGAGAAGAGGAGAAGAGTTAGAAAGAAAAATAAGAAAAATAAGAAAAGATAGAAGGGAAATAAAGCAGTAGAGGAGATAAACACTGCTCCTGTCTGACAAGTGTCACACTTGCGCTTCGATCCAGCCTTCCTCCTGCGCTAATGACTGTCAACATGACAAGCAGGGCAGTCTGAAGGGGGAGAAAATTACTCGCTGAAAAGCAATTGACTGACCGCCATCATTTCTCAGGGAACCAGTGACCTGTGAATATTTCATTATGGGGAAAGTCGTGCGGCCCATACAAATGGGTCCGGGGGCCCGAGGATGTGGCTGGCCCTGCCGTCCCCTGGCTAAGACCAGGCAATGGAGGGGGAACCTGAGGCCATGCTGGTGTGTTTCTGCCTGCCTGCCTGGTAGTCTTTTCATTACCACTAGACAGTACTTATTTCAATACAAAGACAGGGGGAATACATTTACACAGATGAAATGGGAGGCCATAGTTACAGTTTCAATAGTCGGTGTTGATGTGGTATATTAGGGGATTGGATGTGGAGTGTGTTAGGATAATACAGGTACTATGTCTACTGAGGTGATATTTGCTTGTCTTTGAGAGGGGGGAGAGAGAGAGAGAGAGAGAGAGAGAGAGAGAGAGAGAGAGAGAGAGTGAGAGAGAGAGAGAGAGATGAGGGGTAGAGAGATGAGGGGTAGAGAGGAGAAAGTCTCATAGATGCCAACAGGTCTAACCCAGACGTTCTTTTACCCTCTGCGCGACATTCATCTTACATTGAGGGAACATCAGAGGTCTTCGAATGGAGAGGGGCAGGAAGAAAAGAGAAGATGAGAAAATATGAAAGAAAATCAATCCAGCACTAGCTTGATTGATCGGTGGAGTTTTAGACAATTTCATCAGGAGACTCCACTAACCAGAGATGACACGACCCATATTGGAGGGAGAATGCATTGTGGAGATTGATACCCGCATTAGAGGCATCAGGTCGGATAAACGCAGGCTCTGGCAGTAAATACACTGGGCCCGTGTGCCCCCTCAATGACGACTTAATGCCACAGAAATCCAGGCTGCCCACACTTTTCTTTACAAACTTTGACTGGACTGGATAATTGAGTCAATTAAGTACACCATAATCCTTAGCAGTGATCTGTGTCCTCAGCAGAAACATAACAGAGAAAGTTTGGGTTTTGTGTTATAGAGAGAACTTGAGATTTTCTCTATTTATCAAAAGGTCTTAGGAAAGAGGCTTACTTGTGATTCCAATCCAGGTCCTTGTGTTAAACATACATTTATGCTCTTCATCAAATACTTTACGTATTGAAAATATACATATCCGTGTGAATCACTTACAAATTATACATCCCAGAAATGTACAATGCTCTCCTCACAGCTGCCCTCAAAATGTATATTGAAATACATCTAAAATACATACTAACTTCCCTTCATTCTCAAGTCTACGAAGAAAATAGCAAAATGGACTGATTGTACAACATCTATTTCCATCAATCCTGCTCTAATGAAAGAAACTCTACATTCACCAAGGTAGGTATATATGTCAAGAAAGATAGAGCGGGGAGAAAATGGACAGGGTGAAATGGGGGAGCGGTAGAGAAGGACAGGGGGAATACTGCTGATCCAGAAGATCAGGCCAGAAAGCATGAAGTACTACAGAAGAAGAAGAAGAAAGGGACAAAAGGAGCCACCAGGGCCTGATCACACAGGGCTGACAGGAAGTAATGGAGGGTCACAGAGGGTCAAATGACTGATCCAGGGTCATTGGACAAAGTTACAATTTTGCCGCCTAGTAAATATTTCAGCAGCGCTTGGTCGTGCAATGTAGGGCTCCCTGACACCCTCTAAAATACAATAGATAGACACCTGTAATAAAACACTCTCCACACAAACACACATATTCTCCGGTGCACACACACGAACCCTCTTTAAGACACACACACACACACACACACACTGTGGAAACTTCTCAGCTCCAGATTCCAAATAAATACCATCACAGAGAGCTGTCACATAATCATTATTTAGCCTTTAGCTAAATCACTCTAATATGGTGGGTGGCACAGAGCAGAAGTTACCTTAAGCAGGAGGAAGAGCGTGACGTGACTGTTGGTGACATTTGCACTGATCCGCGTTTCAACTCTCTAATGCAACAAAAAGGCGTCTCTGATTCCTGTCTCATATCTGGTTTTAAAATGAAAGCCCCAAAGATCCTGAAGGATTTTACAGCGTGACAGTGATAGATGAATAAAGAAAGAGAAACTTTGTATGCTCCAGCACATCAGACTGGCACTTCTCCAAATGAGAACTGGAGTGGCCTATTGATGTGGCACCAGGGCTAGTGTGACAGGGCACATGGATGCGATCCATATTTCATTGGCTGAACATCACTTGCACCAGCTAGTGAAATCAAATCCAACTCAACCCCTTTGTTGACTACCCAGGGAGGCCCTTCCGTTCGGTACATCACCATGAGTAACTAGTCAAAACACAGAGCCTGTCTCTGTTCCAGAACTTCTCCACTGAGGCCCCTGCTGTATACTTCGCTGCTGTTTACTCTGGCCCCAGAGCGGGTTACATGAGGTATTTTCCCCCTCTTACAGTGAGAGAGAGGAGGTATGGGGTGGGGGAGGAGTGTGGTGAGTTGGTGCCAGCGTTGGGATACAGTACATCTCTCATCCTATGCTCTACATTACTGCATGTCTGCAGTAAAGTTGATTAAAGCACTGGTGCAGACGTGAACCTTTCACCCTCTCTGCCTTTCATCAGTGGCCTTCCCCTCTCCGCTATACTGTGCTGTGTAGGCACACAGCCTTAACTATGAAGGCTATATTACAGTGTCCTCAAAGGATCATCAGAATCTCACCATGGGTAGAATAGGGGGCTTGGGGATGGGGATGGGGGTTGGAGGTTGGGAGAGGTTGCGTGGCAGCGCCTCATTTATCAAACACCTCCAGGATAGGGTACTGCACCCCCCTCCACCCCACCCACCCACCCACCACCTTACAATGCCTCTGTCACGTTAGTTTAATGACGGGTCAGACCAAGGCGCAGCGTGATATACGTACATGTTTATTAAACCAATAAACACTCGACAAAACAAGAAACGAAACGAAACGTGAAGTCCAAGGTAGCGCACACACACAACATACCTTACAAGGAACAAGATCTCACAACTAGACAGTGCCAATAGGCTGCCTAAGTATGGTCCCCAATCAGAGACAATGAGCGACAGCTGCCTCTGATTGGGAACCACACCGGCCAACATAGAAATACACATACTAGATAATAAACATAGAAAACACACAACAAAGAATATACACACCCTGACTCAACATTTAAGCGTCCCCTGAGTCAGGGCGTGACAGCCTCGCATGAGAAACTTCTCCTGCTTCCTCAGTGAGACCCTCTTTCAGAATGCATCGATGGATCCTGGTGCAAAGTCCTTGTGACAAAATTGCGTGACGTAATGAGCTCGAATATAATCTTCACTACGGTCATTAGAAAGGCCCTGGGGTCCTCCGTAGTCTCGGTGAGTCTGTGTGAAAAGTAGTGCTATATACCTGAGATTTTTGACGTGCACAATGTGAACTCTTGATGCCATCCCATCTACATGTTCCCCGCTCTCCCCCTCCAACACGTCTCCCTCAGTTCCCTATAATGGCCACAATGACTTCTTGGACTGGATTCAATAGGTTCTTTGAGAAAGGGGGAAACTGTTGTGCTCAGAAGGAATCAATCAGTGCTTCTCAGCGTAATTCAATTCTATTCACAAAGGGCCAGGGAGGCAATCTTAAAATGGAAATGCCACTTTGCTAGGGGCGAAGGGGAAGCAAGGAGGAGATGTGCGTGAGGAATAGTTTGCGTGGTAAAACACTGCAGCTTTCAATCATGCTGCCATATATTACAAGCCATTACAGTCTTTGTGCTGAGTGCAACAAAACTGGCTTAAGTGTGTTATCGTTTTCAGCCTTGCCAAATAATCATGGTGATGTAGTGGAGATCTTGTACTGTCGCTAGTGGATCTCACACACCTCCCTCTCCCCTCATCCACACAGGCAGGCATACACTGCTGCTACCGCTCTACCACTGCTGTGGCTTCTGAACATTTAACTTGCTCAGCTGACATTTTGCAAACTACAGTCATTTAAAGTGGCTGCCATGGACATATGACACTCAGAAAAAAATGTTATAAAAGGGTTATTGGGCTGTCCCCATAGGAGAACCCTTTTTGGTTCCAGGTATAACCCTTTTTGGTTCCAGGTATAACCCTTTTTGGTTCGAGGTAGAACCCTCTGTGGAAAGAGTTCTACATGGAACCCAAAAGAGTTCTACCTGGAACCAAAAGGGTTCTACCTGGAACCAAAAAGGGTTCTTCAAAGGGTTCTCCTATGGGGACAGCCAAAAAACAATTGTAGGTTCTAGATAGCACCTTTTGTTCAAAGAGTGTAGATCATTTTTAAACGACTTTCTGCTTCTATCCAGAACCTCTGTTTAGTTTCTAGAACATAAAAACGGACCACGTTTTGGGCAAAACCGAGGCTTCAAAAGCTGTTTGATAAAAATAACATTTACATTTGACATTTTAGACATTTAGCAGACAGTCTTATCCAGAGCCACTTACAATTAGTGCATTCATCTTAAGATAGCTAGCCTACGTGGGACAACCACATATCACAGTCGTATTAAGTACATTTTCCCTTAATAAAGTGGTTATCAGCAAAGTCAATGCTATTAGGAAAAGACAAGTGCAGGTAATTATTCTTTGTGTGTGTGTGTGTGTGTGTTGGGGGGGGGGGATACACTTTGAAGAGGTAGGGTTTCAGAAGTTTTCGGAAGATGGGCAGGGACTCCGCTGGCTTGACATTAGGGGAAAGCTTGTTCCACCAAATCAAACGTGTCGCTCCAAAATCAAAGGACAAACAATATGAGGAGCAGAACACCTGCTGATACGGTATGAACAGGTGGAGCCAGTTACTGTGACCAGCATCATTTTGAAACACAGTTAATTTAATGGCATTCACCTCTGTGGGAATAGATGTGAGCTTTAGAACATGTTTCACAAACAAATGTTGCTCTTAAAAAAAAGACTGCAATGGATTTGGTGCTTCTAACACCTCAGCAGTTTTAAGTATCATGTGAAAACTGCAATGTAACACAGAGCTGTCATTACAACTGTGGGATATTTAAGGCACTTACGGTGCTGTACTGTCAATGTTATCTGTCTAAATACTTCTGAAGTAGCCACATGGTTTGTGGGTAAAGTGGGTAAAGCCAGAACGGCTAACTCTGCCTGTGTACAATTCGAGTGATCCGGGCCCGTTCGTTCCTCCCAGCAAGCAGGATGTCCCTTATCTCTAGAGCTAAAATGTGGTTGAGGCTCCGGTCAGCTTCCTTAACCGCTATCTGGTTGTCCCTCCTGCGCCTCTCAGCTTTCACCCCCCCCCTCTACATCTGCTGCTCTGGGAAGGCTCAGTTTCTCCAACCCAAACTGGCCGCAGTCAGTACAGGATGGGATGGAGATGGAGTGGAGAGGGGTTTTGGGGGTTTTAGTATATGTAGACAGGGGACATTGTTAGAGGCAAACCCACAGGACTGTACTGGGGCCCGGCTCTGTCTTGGCACAGAGGCTGGGTTCTGGATGCTGAATCATTCATGGAGTCGGTCTACGCCCCATGCAGATGTGCCTGCAGCCAAGGGCTCCCCTGCTTCCCGCAGCCCAATATGATAATGGAGGAGGCCCACCCTCCAGTAAGGCTGTCGATCATATCCTATGAACAGCATTGATGAATAATCCTCTCGAAGGAGGAAGGAGCTCTCCTCACTTTAGGATGGAACACATTAGATTCCAATGCAAGGACTAAGACTTGCATAGACCCAAAGCTCTAAATGTGTTTCGCTGTATTAGGCTTACATTCAATCAAACATGTACTGCAGTACATTTTCATCAATCCTGTGCCATAAAAAATTCAAATTTCAAGTACTGCAATTAATCAAACCAATTTAACTGGGTGAAATGAAGCAAAGCAAATTTTACATTTATGCAGTGGAGAAACAATGTGATTTTTCCCTTGTGCAGGTTTGATTGAACCCCTAAATTTGTGTAGGGAAAAAGCTTCACTCTTTTACGACACCTATCTGAAAGTGAGGCACCATTATCTGTCAAGGACTGTTTACATGTAATGTGCACCTGAAGATAAAACCAGCGCTGCTTCTCTTTCATCTAGCGTAACAACAAGCATGTCACTATTGTTGTCTGCTCACATTTCCTGATCAAAGTGGCTCAGTTCCCAGACACTCAAATCACACTCATACTTCAGTCTACTAGTTGAACTCTCCGTTGATTAAATCAATACTTCTCTTTGATTTCGGCTGAAAATGACACATCTCTAAACACCACAACAGTCAGATGACAAGAACACATAAAACTGTATTTATCCCCTCGCGTTGTGAATAGATACGTTGGTGGAATGGCGTTAATGTGGGGTGTTCGTTACCAATTAACGTTTATTGTGTATGCCAACAAGTTTTGTGTATTTCATAACTAAAATGTTGTATTTGAAAGGGAACAACTCATTTGATCTATTCTTATATAAGAACAGTAAGACTCTACTCTCTCATGTGTGCATACATGTACAATGCTTTCAGAAAGTATTCACACCGCTTTACTTTACATTTTGTTGTGTTACAGCCTGAATTTAAAATTGATTACATTGAGATTTTGTGCACTGATATACACACATTACCCTATAATGTCAAAGCAGATTTTATTTGTAGAACGTTTTAGAAATTTATAAAAAATTTAAATTTTAAATGTCTTCAGTCAAAAAGTATTCAACCCTTTGTTATGGAAAGCCTAAATTAGTTCAGGAGTAAAAATCGCATAACAAATCGCATAATAAATTGCATGGACTCCGTGTTCAATGGTTAACATGATTAACATAATTGTTTTAACTACCCCATCTCTGTACCCCACACATACAATTATCTGTAAGGTCCCTCAATCAAGTAATGAATTTCAAGCACAGAGTCAACCACAAAGACCAGGGAGGTTTTTCAATGCCTCGCAAAGAAGGGCAACGATTGGTAGATGTGTAAAAAATACACACTCAAAAAAACAGATGCTGAATATCCCTTTGAGCATGGAAGTTATTCATTAGGCTTTGGATGGTGTATCAATACACCCAGTCACTAAAAAGATACATGTGTCCTTCCTAACTCAGTTGCCGGAGAGGAAGGAAACTGCTCAGGGATTTCACCATGAGGCCAATGGTTATTTTAAAAACAGTTACAGAGTTTAATGGTTGTGATATGAGAAAACTGAAGATTTATTAACAACATTTTAGTTACTCCACAATACTAAAATAAATGACAGAGTGAAAAGAAGGAAGCCTGTACAGACTACAATTATTCCTAAACATGCAACAAGGCATGTGGCAAAGAAATTAACTTTTTGTCCTGAATACAAAGAGTTATGTTTGGGGCAAATCCAACACATATTTTCAAGCATGGTGGTGGCTGCATCATGTTATGGGTATGCTTGTCATCGGCATGGACTAGGGAGTGTTTTAGGAAAAATAGAAACGGAATACAGCTATAAGCACAGGCAAATTCCTAGAGGAAAACCTGGTTCAGTCTGCTTTCCAGACACTGGGAGACACTGGGAGACAAATTCACCTTTCAGCAGGAAAATAACGTAGGGCCAAATATACACTGGGGTTGCTTACCAAGAAAATGGCTGTCTAGCAATGATCAACAATCAACTTGACAGAGCTTGAAGGATTTTATTGTACAATCCAGTTGTGCAAAGCTCTTAGAGACTTACCCAAAAAGACTCACAGCTGTAATTGCCGCCAAAGGTGCTTCTACAAAGTATTGACGCAGGGGTGTGTATTTCATTTTCATTTTCAATACATTTGCAAAAATTTCTAAAAACATGTTTTCACTTTGTCATTATGGGGTATTGTGTGTAGATGGGTGAGAAAAAATTATATTTAATCCATTTTGAATTCAGGCTGTAACAACACAAAATGTGGAATAAGTCAAGGGGTATGAATACTTTCTGAATGCACTGTATTTTCATAATGTCTCAAATTATTTATTTTGGGTGAAATGGAAAAGGTAAACAAATACATCATTTCTACACTGGCAATCTTGATTGTGATTTCACTGAATAACTCAACCAAAACTCACCAGAACACGGCAGCGGATAAAAAGGACGACATTCCATTTGTGAGATTGTTTTGATGCAGTGCTTTTCGGCCTCATTCAACGCTGAGACTGCTGGAGCATTGGCAATGCTAATCGACATGTGAATGAGGCGAGGGAGGGATGTGGATTCACCGAGTGTATTGCTCTCCTCGCTGTAGCCCCTCCACTCTCAGAATAGCCCCCAGCTTTATCTTCAACTGCTTTGTGAGTGCTTGCCTGTAGCTTCAGCCTTCTGTATTTTTGCAAAAGGGACAACAAAACACTTGTTTCTTAGGCGTTGGGGAAAAGCCTGAATCTAAGAGAATTACAGTCACAATGGGGATCTCAGCAGTCTCTCACATACGCCGAGACACACACTCTTTCTCGCAGTGGTTGCCCGAGTGGGAATGAACTGCTCTACAAAGGCCAGGGCCTTGGCAAGGTAATTAACACAGGGTGCTTGTTTCACATGGCAGAGTCCATTAAGTGCCATGTCACATTGATGTCAGGGTAAAGGGAGCAGGCACATACACACACACACACATGCACACACAAACACACACACACGCACATGCATGCACACACACACAGTCCGAGGACGGACCAAAAGCAGAATGAGTAGTGGAGATAAGTGAGAGAGAAAGAGAAATAGAAATAGGAGAGGGTGAAATGGCAGGCTGCTAGGCCTCTCTAATCAGTAGTAGTCCCATTCCCCTCCAGGTTTGGCCATCGATCGGCAAGCAGGCAGCTCTACCAGCACGGCCCAGCCCGGTGATGAGAGAAGAGGCAGGGGGAGAATGGATGTGATACCCCTATAAAGGCTCTAATTGCCCTGTCTTGGCTACCACCCCCCCCAGCTGTCCTAGCAAAATGGCCCCACACTGATGGACACACAGTTCTGCTGGCACAGCATGGAAATGGTCTCTGATTTAAGGCCATTAGGCACAGAGCCGTCAGAGAGAGAAGGCCAGGCTAGGCCACAACAGCAGCGTGGGTAGTAGGCATTAGCTAAAGAAGGAAGTGGGCACACTTATCTCCCTAAACCGCGACAATGAACAAACCACCAGGGCGGTGGGACTTTAACACACACACACACCTCTCAGAGTAGCGCTAGGTCTCAGATAACATTGTCCCCACTGAAGTGACTTCCACACACCCTAACTGAGGTTTATCTCCCACTTAACAGATGAGCCAGAGGAAACAAGAGAGCCACTCAGGGATGGAGTAGAGAGGATAGGAGCTATAGAAAGACGGAGAGAGAGAGAGAGAGAGAGAGAGAGAGAGAGAGGAGGGAAAGACAAAGCGGCAAAGTGAAACCGTTCTAGCAGGCGTGGCATCATTAGTGTTGCCGATATAGATGGCGGTGGAAGCTGGGGTTGTCGGAGGAGGGGAGGGGGAGGAGAGAGAGAAAGGGGAAATGAGGGCAGGCAGGTTTCTCCATCTCCCCTTAAACATTTACATTTTTGTCATTTAGCAGACGCTCTTATCCAGAGCGACTTACAGGAGCAATTAGGGTTAAGTGCCTTGCTCAAGGGCACATCGACAGATTTTTCACCTAGTCGGCTCGGGGATTAGAACCAGCGACCTTTCGGTTACTGGCACAACGCTCTTACCCACTAAGCAACCTGCATATGTAACTTTTTGGGCGACCCGACCAAATGCATGTAGAATTATGAGTTATAGGTCTTTCATTCTCATTGAAAGCAAGTCTAAGAAGTGGTAGATTCTGTTCTATGTGCACTATTTCTATGCTTTCCGTTCTTAAGTTTTGTACACCAGCTTCAAACAGCTGGAAATACAACATTTTTGGTTATGGAAAATATATTTCACAGCGGTTTAGATGGTACAATGATTCTGTCCACTATACTTGCTTTTATAGTTCACATTAGGTGAACTATTAGAATTTTTGCAACCAGGAAATGGCGAAGTGATTTCTGCATATTGCACCTTTAAGATGAGGATCACATTGAGTGTTGCCTTAATGTTGATTACATGGAGTGCGGTGTGAGCGGTGGGCCATGGCGGAGCGTGCTGATGGATGGGTCTGCGCCCTCGGTTCTTTGAACTACCAACATAACACACCGCCCAGAGCAGAGCAGCGAGAGCCGCAATTAAATCAGGGGTCTGACTGGACTGAGGCTCAGACAGACAGACAGACAGCCAGACCACACCACACCACCCGGACTGACTGGACACTGTGGTGATTTGTGTACTGTCCCCGAGAATAGGGCCATGTATTTTTAATCAATGTCAAAGTGATGTAGTGCGTGTTTGCCTAAAAAATCCCCTGACAAACACTAATGCAGAAACACTAACCCCCAGAGGAGCTCGCAGCAGGCTGACACACACTGGACCCAGCCTTCCAGAGACTGACCTGAACATCTTACCTCAGTCTTACTTTAAGTCTACAACACAAAGAAAAATTCCCCAACCTATTTATTTTTTAGCACTATATGATACAGAAGATGGAACGGGTTGCAATTCACCCAACCAATTAAGATTTGAATAATATTACAATATTAAATCGTTTAAAAAAAAATCTAAATCATAATAATGCAGTGGGGCTGCAGGCTGATAATTAGAGATTGGTGGATCCATTGCCATCCCTCAGGGCAGACACATGCTGACGTTCCTGCAGGTCATCTGGTATTGGGAATCATTCCTGAAGCACAAACAAGCCAGGGAGATAGGCTGGCTGCCCTCCAAAAGGCTGTCTCCTCACTTTACAGGCCTCTTTTCCCCTTTCAGCTAATTCAGCCCCAAATATCGACCAGCAGACAATGCCCAGTCAAAATGAGAGAGAGAGAGAGAGGAACGGGTGGAGAGAGAAAAGGGAAAGAGAGGGGGGGGGGGGGGAGACAGAGAGAGAGAAAGAAGGAGGGAAGATGCGATGAAGGTAGGAAATAGAAGCCAACGAGGTAAGATACTGTATGTAGGTAAATTGCAAAAAAGGTTAAGTATAAGTGTATTCCACTCACATGACCAGGGTCTGACACAACTCAAGGGAGGAACGGGAGACACAGAGAGAAAGGGAGGTAGAATGGGAGAGAGAAAAAGGGAGATCATACCTTGTTTCTCCTGCCTGCGAACAGACAGTTGACAGTGAAAACCATGGTACGAAAGATCATTAAGCCAAAGACCATTGACCTAGGGAGGATGCTCACTGATCCCTCACTGAAACATGGTGCATTAAAGGGCTTCAGGATGATTGCTTCAGAGTTATGGGACTACAGTACACGGACAGGCACAGGCAGAGCTGTGGGCGTAAATGAATTCAGAGCCACAGCTCTGTGAGAAGACATTATTCTCTTAACTTCGCTGGCGCTTTTATTGGTACACAAGACCGTTTACAGTCTTGGCCCCCCCATTTGGAACCAGCCATGTAATCTGACAACGAGTTCAATTTGATAATGATAAACATGATAGAATTATCACAGTCCAGATGCCAAACCACTCTCCTTTATCACAAGGAAATTGTCAAGCGCAATCTATATAAAAAGGAGTTATAAACAGGTGTGTTATAAACAGAAGACTTGAGAACGACCCCTGAACTCACTGGAGCCCTGTGATGGACAGGAGGGCCATCCCTATTGAGGCGTCCTCGTGCCTCTTACGAGGACGCCTCGTCAGGTGGCCAGTCAACAGCCAGGTTCTGCATAGTTTAACACACTATAAAAGATTAATTTGCTAAGTGGTACAGCATTTTGCCCTTTGAGAGGCTCATGCATTGTTTAGGCTGCCGAGAGGAGGAGGGAGGTGGGAGGTGTTGGTGGTGGTGGGAGGAGGAGGAGCAGAAGTGCTCAGTAATGGGGCCAAATAGGAGTGTTGATTTATGCACACAGTCCCAGAGAGAGGGAAGGAAAGGAGATGTGTGTCACCAGTGCTCTACCTTAATACCAGTCCTGCTACCTCTACGCTAAGCCCCAGCTGCCTACCTGTGTCCACTCGGACCACATTGGATCCCAAAGTGGTCAAGAAACTTTGAGGGCTTATAGTGGATTGAGCGAACCCTTATCATTCTATGAACTGATCATTGTGTCGTTTTCCAGAGCATTATTGTCGTGGTATCTTTCCCCTAATGAGTTATTAATATCATAATAGGTGAAGTAGGCTAGTCACAATGGTCCATCAGGAACCACACAGTACAGTACTGTAGTTTAGGCTCAACTCTGCCACACGATACCACATCAGCCCTCTGCATGGTGCTCTGATCAGGGCTATATCAAATGAAAGGGACTGCATTTATCCATCCATACGAATAATGAGTATTCATTTTCAACTAATTGAAAATAACTTCAGGCAAATTTACCCTAGGGCTCGGACCATATCCGCAAGTGCTAAATTACTGCCAATTGACCGTGGGCTGATGGTTGCAAGACGAACCAAGCTGAAAGCAAGACTGGCACGAGGCTTGGAGAATGGCACCTCTGGTCGAGCCCCATGACATTCTGGATAAGACATGGGTGGAGGTGTCACATTCTTCAAACTCCTAGTCTCCGTACTACTAATATGATGCAGTATCACTTCCCTCCCTCTTATTTTCCCAGCCACAACCCACACTAATGCCTGGGCCAGCAGAGGTCACAGCATTCCCGGCAAACACAGCCCAATCTTTAACCTCGTTACAGTGCGCATGATATACTTTGCAAGCGGGGGCCAAGGGTTTATCCATTATGAATGAGACCCATATTACTCCGGGCATTAGCAATGTATGAGCTGGGCTTTAGAAACACAAGGTCTGGGCTTTTTCTGCCTCCTTGTTCTTCCCCTAGCACTCCTTCCTTCCCTCCCTCCCATCCACTAACACAGTGCTGTTGCTGGCTGGCTGTTCTCTCTTCCTTGCCACGTGCTCCGGCTCGAACACTGCCTGACTGGCTCCCATCTCCATCGCAACCCGCCCTACAGTAACTCTTCCCTGACAGCTCGTCTGGGTTGGGCCCCGCCTGTCCGATCCCAAGCTCCTCTTCTCAAAGGCTGGGACTTTGAAAAGGCAGGGCCCTGCCTGGGGCTGCAGCAGTCCACTGATCTCTGGTTTTGCTCACTCTCTCCATCACTCCCCGCGCTAACCCAGCCGACCCTACCCACCTTCACTGGCATAGCCCTGTCTCTTTCAGTCTGATCTCGCATATCTAATACCTTTGCGATGGTATCTGATCTTTCAAAGTCCCCCAACTGACATTTTTATAAAATGCCACAAAAAAAAACACAGAAAAAACATGAAGACAGCAGCTCCTTATTCATCTTGATAACATATGATATATGAACACAGATCAAAATACACTTTTCATAAAACTGTGAATATGGTGTTTGTAGGGTAGAAAGTGGCACTGTCGGGGGGCAGCACAGTAACAAAGAGGCAGTAATAAACCATTTTCAGAGCCTATTGCCAGCTGAATCAGAAAACGAAATGATACATGCATATACCCCTCCCCCATCTACCACACGCACCAGCACTAACAAACAACTAATCAATTCCGTGGGAGCGTTAGTGAGGGAGTGGTGGTAATGGCGAAGGCCTCTATACTGCTTAGCTCGGTGATTCTGATCGTGAGGGGAGGGTGAGGTGGGCTGGGGAGATGGAGCATGTGCTAGTGCTCTCCATGGAGCTCTGGACTCCCCAGGGCTGCACCCCTCCCTCCTCTCCCCCTCCCTTCCCTCTCTATTGCGGGGGAACAAGATTACAGAGGCCCCCGGGGAGAGCCCATCTCCCAGCGTGCATCAGGATACCCTGCTGTTCGCCTGAACAAGAGACGTACTTCAAAATGTCTTGCTGCTCTGATCCAGCATTTGCCATGCTTTTAAAATGATCACAACAGCGGCTCAAATGATTAACCCTGACCAAGTGGCTCTAGGTTAGAATGGAACATTTCCTGTGATGACCAGCAACATCTCTGGACACTGGGGAGATGAGACGAGATGTAAAGTCTGGTTCAAAGCAGTAATGAGCCATTAACGGACAAGGTAAAGTATGACCACTCATCCCTTGTCGTCCTCCATGTAAAAGGAAATAAATACAATCTGGTTGGTTTCAGCCACAACAAATGGCGGAGGACAGGAAGGATCGCAGTGTGGCGAGGGGAGCAGCGGAGCGACGAGAGGCCTGAACGAGGCCTATTATGACAGGAAGCTCCACTCATCAGCCATTCAGGGCGCTGTAAGAGGAGACATAAATCAATGGCATGCCAATTATGACACCACACTGAGCCGTGTGAGTGCAGGGAATTAGCCGCACAAATCAGAGGATCAGGTTCAGTTAGATGGGCTCCTCTGGAGTGGAGGGGAGAAGAGAGAGAACCACCACAGGGAGGATGGTGGAAGGAGAGAGAGATGGAGAAAGTAAATGGAGGGAAGGAGAAAATAGAGGACAGAAGAAGGAAGAAGAGAGAAGGCAGACATCTGATGAAATGTGAAGAAGTAAAAATAAAAAAATCGACCCTATCAAATCCATTCCTCTGCCTGTAGAGTTGGGGTATAAAACTAGCTACATCTGGGTAGAAGAAAGGTAAAGGGGCACTGTAAGCCCATCAGCCAGTCTTCACTAAGCCTGAGAGGAGGAGTGAGGTGTCTGTGCTATGAGACCACAGCCGCCGCACGTCAACAACACTTCTCATATCTTACACTTTCACACAGAGATCTCTCCAGAATATACAAATTAATGTTCACCTGACCTCCCCTTGCAATCACGCAGGCGTCTCTGCCGATCGGGGGGAACCTGCACGCAGCATGCAGGTTCTACACAGGTCGTGGCTTTGGGCCTGAACACGGAACACGCCGCCCCAACACCACTGAGCACAGCTGTATCCCAGAACTTTGATTCTGATTAAACAGAAACAGAACAGCCTATTAAAGTAATTCACATATATCTAAAGTATGCAGAGAGATGTATGCAGAGGGATGTATGCAGGGAGATGTGCACCAAAGGGTGTGCAGCATGCACAGTAATGTAGTGCATATCCTAAAGAAAGATCAGCAGACAGCACTTGAAAGAGCATATCTTGCAAAAGCTTATATATATTATTTATCACTCAGACATCAAAAAGGAGACTTTGTAATGACCTTTTTTAACATTTATATTCAAAGGTAATGCAGTTTCTGAAAGTGCAAATCTACCCAAAAGCGACTGTCCATTATTGTACACGAGACAGGGCATGAAATAGTTCTCTCTATCTGGGCCAAATGTATGTTTTATATAACACACACTATCATACACCATATTGATGTACTGTATATTATATCATAATGTCATAAAATATACACTACAATAAAACACGTAAGGCTTCATGAATGTTTCAGAGTTCAGTGTGATGGTAATATTAGTGGGACTGTGGTGTGATCTACACTGTTCAGTGTGATGGTAATTCTAGCGGGACTGTGGTGTGATCTACACTGTTCAGTGTGATGGTAATATTAGCGGGAATGTGGTGTGATCTACACTGTTCAGTGTGATGGTAATTCTAGCAGGAATGTGGTGTGATCTACACTGTTCAGTGTGATGGTAATTCTAGCAGGACTGTGGTGTGATCTACACTGTTCAGTGTGATGGTAATTCTAGCGGGATTGTGGTGTGATCTACACTGTTCAGTGTGATGGTAATATTAGCGGGACTGTGGTGTGATCTACACTGTTCAGTGTGATGGTAATACTAGTGGGACTGTGGTGTGATTTACACTGTTCAGATGGAGAACAACAGAGAAGTCCAGTATAGGAAACAGATATTTCTATTTTTAATTTTAGCAGAAATCAACTATTATTAGTAAATCAAGCAGGAAACTGGATATGCTCATAATACAGCATTAACATGATCCGGTCTTGTCCACGGCTACGATGAGACATAAACAGTAGAGGATTTCAATACTCGGAAACACAAACATTAGCATATATTGAAGTATAGATTGTGTGTCAGCGATGCGATAGAGATGCATCCTCTGTGTGTCTAATCCCTCATCACCTCCACAAAATTAAGTACACACTCCGCAGAAGGAGAAGTGTCATTCTGGACAGCCATGTATCTGATATCCTCAGTGTGCCGGTCTCAGGTTGCGCACACACACACACACACACACACACACAATACACATATACACACAAACACAATACACATATACACACAAACACAATACACATATACACACAAACACAAACACAATACACACACACTCAGTCTACTGTGACTGTGTGGTAACCAATGCCTGCCTGGCTGTCAACCCTCTGTAATTTGGGGCACAATTCATCGAATGACAGATGAATGTTTTAATTGTACGCTGACCTTGATGAAATGAATGGATGCTCTATTTCAATTAGGAGTCCAAGGGGTGATGTGGGGAGAGTGTCTGTGTGTGTGTTTGTGTGTGTGTGATGGTGCTGGTGGAAGTCTTTCTCCACATGTCTTTGGCTACTGAGTAGTCAGATTGTGTGTGTTAAATGTCCTAGTAGAAATATCTATCTTAGAGCCTTAGTGGCGGTTTTCATACTGCCAAGCTCTGAAAATCCCTACTCTTGGTACAATCCTCAGCTGTTTACCAAGTCTAATTCCGAAGATGTACATACAGTAGAAATTGAAGGGAGAACCTAATCTGTGCGTGGGCGCCACGGTATGCTTGCTCAGTATGGCTATTCATGGCTGGGACACGAACACCAAATCCCCAGAGAATACAGCTGCCACGATGAGATGTGTTTTTACAGGGATTTTGGTTTGGGATTTTTTGAATTGGATATGAGACCTATTGTCAAAAATAGTACTGAGGGTTTTTTGTTGAAAAAAAAAATGTTGTGGGGGAAAATTAACTCAATATACTTAAAAATTACTAAAACCAAATCAAAATTGTGTAGAAATGATAATGCACCTACATTCATACAGTTTCTTGACTGTGTCCATAAAATCATCAAAATAAAAGCTAGACAGTCAGGGAGCATAGAAAATTCCAAAAACGATGGATAGAGGACTATCTTTTGCCAATTTTGCCAGTGAGAAAATATAACCCATTTTCAGTGCGGCCCTCAGGACATCGCTAAAGAGTGATTGCCCCCCTGCCCCGTCAAAATGAGTTTGACACCCCTGCTCTACGTTGTTGTCGCTCTCCACTGTACCTGAACACTGTCAACAATACCTCAGCATGGTGCAGTGGCTAGTAAAGTAGAGGTGGGTGGGGTTATATAAACAGAAATGATTCCCTTCATATTGGTGTTGGCAGAGCAGTCTCTCTCTCCCTTCCCCTTCTCTTCCTCGCTGCAGGTCTTACTGAGAGCGCTCTACTTTTTTTCTTCTATCCTTCACAAAAGGCTTAGAGAGTGGTCTCTTTAACAGGTTAACAATGGACCGACCTTGGTTCTCCATGCCTGTAAATGCTGCTGGAGGATTCCTGTTTAGTCTTGACCACGGGGGAAGCCTCTCTATCTATATAATGCACAGCCATTCTAACTCAACGTCCAGTTACTGACCATACCTGTTCATATGCAAGTCCATGAGTCTGAGGCATCGACCTTTAGAATGGTACGCTGCCATTGTAAAACACCAGGCCCCAGATGGACTATGCCCTCAGCCAAATAAGAGCGGCTGCTCATGTGTGAACCAGCCTAACTTCCTGCATCGGCTCGCCAGATCCCAATGCCTTAGAGGGCCAAGCGAGCATTCTACAGCCTGTTTAACAGTAGCTTCACAACAATCCCCCTGTCCCTCCATTGTCTCCGAGAGATTTTTCAACCGTCTGGATTTCGTTGCTGATGGCCTCTGAACGTGGTGTTGATTAAAAAGTCAGCATTGTTCAGCCTTTCTTGTTTTCTCTTTCTTGTAGATCCTGGGAGTACAAACAGCTCAATAGGCTGCGTGTGAAAGTCTTCTCCCCCAGCGTCTGACGAGGGACGGTGCTGGAGAGAGAGGGCCTAGCGCACCGTGCGGGGCTCCTGGAATCCAATAAAGTGCTTTATTCCAGGGCTGGGCTGGGCTGGGGCCGACGTGGAGCTAATC